TTAGTTTGTCTGTTTTTAAATCTCATGTAAATAAGTGAAATCACAATCATTCTTTTTTTATGCCTGGCTCCTCCTTCTTGGTTGTTTATTTTGTTTTGTCTTTTTGAGACAGGGTCTCATATAGCCCAGCCTGACCTCCAATTTGCAGCAATCCGGTCTCAGCTTCTTGGATGCTGGGAGTACAGGAATGCCTGGCTGCTGAGCTAAATCCCTGGCCCACCTGGCTTTTTCTAAACACAGTATTTTTAAGATTCATCCATGTTAGCCGGGCGTGGTGGCTCACGCCTGTAATCCCAGCACTTGGAGGCTGAGGTGGGAGGATCGTTATGAGTTCGAGATCAGCCTGGGCTACAAAGTGAGCTCAAGGCCAGCCTGAACTGCATAGCGAGACCCCTGTCTCAAAAAAGACAAAAAAAAAAAAAAAAAAAAAAAAAGATTCACCCATGTCATTGTCAGAGGCAATGCTTTGTTCTGTTTTATTGCCATGTTATATTACATACAAAATCACAGTCCGTTTCCACTCATGTACTAGTGAACATGTGAGTTTATTTCGTTTTTGGTTATCATAAATAAAACTGCTCTAACATTCTTGTAGAGGTCTTCTGGTGTTTAGGAGCACTTTCTCGCATCTGTGCAGCATAATGAGGAGCACAATGCCATGCGTGGTCTCAGAGTTCACCTTCGTTTAGCCTTAACAGGTATTGACAAATAACTTTCCAAGCTACTGTGCCATTTTATTCTTCTGTCAACAATGTCTGGCAGATGTTTAATTCTCAGTCTTGCTGTATTTGCTATTGCTGATCATTTCATTCAGCCATACTGAAAAGAATATATTAATATTTGTTTATTAATTCTGGTTTCTTTGTGACATGGTCTTGCTATGTAGCCCAAGTGGTGGCATTCCAAGCCATGTGCCACCCCGGCTCTAATTTTTAATTTCTTAGTTTTTATTTAAAACTTGTCATTTTTATTTACCTAAAAAGGCCAGTCTATGGATGCTAAACTTTTGAGAAATCTGCAGGACTCTTCCAGGTTTCCAGAAACTCCCAGAGGATGTGTGGGTGTGTTTGCCTGTGTCCGTGCACGGTCCCAGATGGATGCTGCTGAGGCCCCACCCTCACGGCCTTGGCACAGACCCATCATTTCCCCAGGAACAGGAAAGGCTTAGATGGGATCCCACGGGGAGATGCTTCCCATCACCAGCAACATCTGGGGAACATCTGGCTAGTCTGTCCAGAGCAGGCAGATGCTCTGCTGGAGAAAACATATCCCTTATTTAATTCTATTTTCTCTCCCTCCTATTCTCTGAATCCCATTGATACAGGGGAAAGAAACTGCCAACCTACTAGATGTCCAGTAGGAGTTCATGTTCTCTAAAATCAAAGAGTGAATTTTAGGAACAACAGAGGCTAAGAGCAGAATACATTTATTAAGAGAAAGCTTCTGTCTGAGAGAGACAATAAGGGTTCCTGAGTGGGTTGCTGAGGACCCCACCTTTTCTGGGGATTTTTGTAGAGCAAAACCATGAGGTGAGGTGGTTCCAAGGTGGGGAAAGATGGGAACTCTCAAGGCAGGGGTGCATGAGGTGGGACAGAACTATCGTCAGTCAATAAGATTATGAGTCTAATTGCTCAGATAAATTGATTAATCGGGAGCAAATAGAGAAGCTAGTCTTTCAGCAAGCAGGCATGATTATGAACAGGAGCTTTTCCTGTAGGGGGCTGGATTAGTGGCTCTTCCTGGCTTCCTCAAGGAGATCCATACCTACTTAGAATATTAATCCCTGATGTCTATACTTAGGGTGTGGTTGTATTTGTCTTTTGTTTTGAGATCTGATCCACAGCAAAGGTGTTGTCTTCTCCAAGGTTGCAAGGTTGAAGAAGACCACTTCTGCACTGGCTCCTAGGCTGGCACGGCCCTGTCTGACTGCCCAGAATATTCTCTCATGCAGCTGCCTATAACACCATCCCTCCTTGGGCTCCCTGCTCTAAGTCAGAACTCATCCTTGCCAAGTCCCTCCCCAGGTTTCTGTCTGGTTTTTTCAATCTGCAGCCCAGAAAGATATGGAGGCAGCCTGGGTCTCACCCATGGGATCTCCAGGGCTCAGGCTCCTTATCAGCAAGCAGCATCTTCAAAATCCTGTCCAGAATGGCAAGGAAGGTGGGGTTTTCTGGTCCAATGTCCCCATTCTACAGATGGAAAGAGGGAGTCAGGGAAGGCAAACCAAAGTAAAACGCCACTTGTGGTCACAGAAGCCCCTTTCTGCTGTTAAGGGAGGCAAGCAGAAAGACAGGCAGAGGACAGGAAAGGTCCTTGGACCAGCAAGCTCTGCAGCCTGCAGCCACAGGCATAGCATAACTCTCACCAGCTCTGTAGACTTTTTCTTTCTTTGGTGATATTTCGGGGTTGAGCCTTGGGATTCACATCGAGTTACATCCAAGCCCTTTTAAAATTTTTTTCGATTTGTTTTGTTTCCTGAGAGTCTTGCTGTGTAGTTTAGGCTAGCCTTGAACTCACTATGTGGTTCAGGATGGCTTAGAACTCATGGCTCCCAGATTCTGGGATTATAGGCGTGCACCACTACTCCCAACATCTTTTTAATTTTGAGACAGATCCTCGGGATAAATCACTGGTTCGAGTTTGGGACTCTCCTGCCTTAGCCTCCCAGAGTGCTGGTATTATAGGCGTGTACCACCATGCCTTGGCGGCTCTGTAGATTTTAAAATCCTTCCCAACTGGTCTTAACCGTGCTGTGGTCACGAGGTACACGCGGTGAGTTGCAGATCCTAACAGGAAACTTGCATCCAGCTCCCAGACACCTCGTCTACAATTCCCAGGTAGGCATGCACAAGGCGCCCAGAAGGACAGGCCCCAATCTTCCCAGCTTGTGTTCCGCCTGTTCCTCCCAGAAGGCAAGGGGAGAAGAACGGCCTGACACTTTACACACGATGGCTGCAGAGGGGCCTTCGCCATTAATGGCCTCCACCCCGACGGTACAGAAGGTCCCCTCACCCTCTCCGGGAAGATAGTCCTCATCTAGGACATCAGTATGACCTGGAATGCAGCGAGAGCAGGTGGGGTGGGTGGGAGAGAGCGCCGCACGGAGGGTCCCTGGCAGAGGCCGTGCAGGCGGAGCCCAGGAAGGCCGGTGTCGGGATTCGGGCTCTGAGGATGCCACGCAGGTGTGGGGGTCACTCCACCCTGGGGATGGGGAGAGGCAGCTGTGGAGAGGCGGCCCGACTTCCAGAGACTCAAAGTGGGCAGGGTCTCGGCCCTGGGCACCGCTGTTCAGGCCCCCGGTGACCTTCCCTCCCCTGCGTTCACAGGTTCGCGTCTAGCCCCGGTGGACTTTCTGGAGGACCAGCGCGTGGGAGCCGGCGTGGACTGAATCTCAACGCGCTGCCTCCGGGCGTGTGGCCTCAGGCTACTGACCCAGTAGAACGGAGCGGTGGCTGACTGCACAGCCCAACGGGCGGGCTGCCGGCGCCTGGTTAGCATTGGGGCGCCCGGCCAGCGGACGGGCGGGGCGGGGTCAGAGTCCGCGGGGAGGGCGGGGCCGCAGCGCGCGGCGAGGTGGGGGCGTGACCGGAGGGCGTGGCCGGCAGGGCGGGGCGGAGCCGCAGCGCCCGACGAGGTGGGGGGGCGTGGCCGGAGGGCGTGGCCGGCAGGGCGGGGCGGAGCCGCAGCGCCCGACGAGGTGGGGGCGTGGCCGGAGGGCGTGGCCGGAGGGCGTGGCCGGAGGGCGTGGCCGGCAGGGCGGGGCGGGGCGGCGCCTGGCGCGGGCCGGGCGTGCGTCAGCGCCGTGAGTCCCGGAGTTTTCCACTGACGAGGAGGGCGGAGCGCGGGCGGGGCCGGCTGCCAGTCTCCCGCCGTCCGCCGCCGCCGCAGGACGCGGGACCGAGGGGCGGCCGCACGTACGGCGGAGCACAGCAGCGGGCGCGGGTAGTGCCGGGTCGCGGCCGAGGGGTCTCGGAGAGCAGGTGAGCGTGGGCCGGGCGGGTGGCAGCACGGGCAGGGTCGTCCCCCCGGGGAGCGCCGCGGCGCGGCCGGGCCGGTTGTTCCCTGGCGCGGGGCGGGCGCCGGGACCTGGCCGGAGTGCGCGGCCGGCCGGCCGGCAGGCAGGCAGGCGTCAGGCCCCGTGTCCCCGCGTCCCGGCTCCGCGCTGTCCCGGTGCTCCGAGGCGTCCCGGCAGGTGGCGGGGAGCGGGGCGCGCATCCGCTGGCGAGGTTCCCTCTGACCCAGTCGCCTAGGAACTTTTCACAAGTTCTGTGCTTGGCCGGAGCAGGTGACAGCGGTCGCCCTCCTCCCTCGGCGGCCGGCGGGGACGGGGTGGGAGCGGGGATGCGCGCGGCTGGGTGAGTCACAGACCCCGCGAGGGAGGCCCGGGGGAGGGGCGCGTGGTGCGCTCACCTGTTTGACAGTCACCGTCACAGCAGAGGCCACCGCCGTGAGTCACGGGGCGCAGCTACACAGGCCACCCGGGGCCACTTGTAGGTCCTCTCCCACTCACTGCTGACCCCTCCTTTGCACGTACTTCCTCTCGGTCCTCAGTTTCCCCTTCCCGCGGGCCTTTTCCCCATCACGCAGTGCTGCGATGCCCACGCCCACGCAGCAGCCACATACTTAGTCACTCCTGTTCCCGGTACAGTCACACACAGCCAAGCCCACACTCCCGACGCTGCCCACCCAACACCTCCACTGCAAGTCTCACAGCCCTGGGGATAGTAAGGAACTCGTCACTTTCCGCCCCCAAGCCCTTGACAGCCCTATCCTCTTACAGTTCCATGCCGGAGTGGCCAAGTCCACCACCTTTCTCCTGTACCCTTGTCTGGTCATCTCCTTCGGCTTCGGCATCACTGGCCAACAGGTCACACCCCATCCCGTGCTGGTGCTGAGCCATCTTTTAAAAATGCAAATCTGTTATTGTCATTCCCTACGTAAATCCTCCCATGGCTTCCTGTGCCCTCGGGCCAAAGCCTGCCCTGTTGCCCCTGGCCCTGCCCCTCCTCCACGCTTGACTGACTGTCCCAGCTCCCTAGCCTCTCGTCCTGCTGTACCCGGTCGGGGACTCTCCCTGCCCCAGATGTACCTTCCTGCCCCTCCCCCAACCCGTTACCCCTACTATCCGGCATTCCCCCAACTCACTCTTCAGGGAGCAGCCTTATGAGTCTTGCACCTTGTGTGCCCAAATGTCTACCACCGATTTTGTCATGTAAGGGGAGTTCGGTAACTATTGCGTTTTAGAATGAATGAAGGCAGGAAGGAGGCCTGGATTAGGTAGAAGCACTCATTCTCAGGTTCAGTTTCCCTTCTGCGGGAGCAGTGTCTTTTGCAAACATTAGACAACTACCCTGTGCCAGGGCCTAGAGGCTAGGCTGAGGAACTGTCCCCTCCCTCTGATCACTTTGTGAGGGATGGGTGGGGGAGGGGTGTGCTAGTGCTTCCTGTCTGCTCTCTCTGGGCTGCTGAGGCTGTTTGATTCTTTGGGGACCACTTTGCTTGGAGGTGTTTTTCCCACATCTCAGGAGTAATTCTGGAGGGCCTCGGGTCATGTGACCCCAGGTGTTGGAGGGAGGGACTGGCCAAGGCCTGGGGTTTTGAGGTTAAAGGACACATTCTTTAGATTCCTGAAGGGGAAGACGGGTGCCCCCTCCCTAATGGTGGTTGGGTGTTGGGGCAGTGGTCAGACTGTTGAAGTGGGCAGAGAAGTTGATGTGACTTTTCCAGAGATGGTCTCCCCCTCACCCAAATAGCCGTTGGTTACTTGGTGCCTGGAGTGAGGTGGTCTTTCCTGGGTTCACAAAGTGTGTGTAGTCAGTTGTGGCCAGTGGGCTGGGACTGTGTCCCCGTGGGCTGTTAGTGGCTGTATGTGATGGCAGGAGGCCCCAGTCAGATCCCGGAAGAAGCCTGGCTTTTTTGATTCAGTGCCTGTCTCCGGGGCTCCTCCAGGGGTGTGATAAATTTCTGTTGGAGCCAGCTCCTGGGAATTGCTTTTCCTTCCTCCAGGACCCTAGGAGGGGGTTGTACTCACCCCGGGAACAGTGCCACAGTCAGGATCTTGATTCCTGGGTAGCTGCTGGGAGCCCCTCCCCCACTCTCTGACTCACTGTCTGACACTTTTCTTGGACTGTTTCACTATCTTTCATTCCCTTTTTCTGCCTTGGCCTCTCCTTGTCTCTGGCTCAGTCTTTCTGTCTCATCTGCCTCTGCCTCTGCCTCTGCTAGCACTATAGCTGCAGGTAGGACAGGGGAATGTGAGATCAGGAGCTCTCCTTGCTTTTCTTACCCAATAGAGAAGGAAATAATTTCTCATTTGATTCCAGATCTGTAGAGCCTAAGAGATTCATCGTTTAAATCTGAAGTAGGACTGCAGTCTTTGTGTAACTGTTTCCTGGTGTGCAGCTTTGTAGGTTATAACCCACTCAGCCTTAGTGTCCTGTAGATATCCCAGACCCAGAGCCCCAAGCCTGGGTGTCCAGCCCAAGCCTGCTCTCTTGATACCTTAATCCCTTTGCTCCTTAGATGCTTGCACTGGTGCTTCCTGCAACCTTGAGCAACCTCCCGCTTCTCTACCCTCGGAGCCACCTTTTTGAGAGTATTCTTGCAGGAATCCTCTGGCAGAGGCTAGGAGGGGGCAGGCATGTGCACCACCACCCCCAAATTAACTGCCTGGAGCAGGAGAAGGTCACATTGAGACCTTGTGTGCATAAAGAATGCCTCTGTGTGGATACTTGAGATGCAGGCTGGCCTGCTTGCTTCTGACCTTGTCAGGGACTCTCTCTGCCAGGCCCTGTTCTAGGTACAGGCACATTTGACCAGGCAGAGCTGCCCTAATCTTGTGAGGTTGACAGGCAGTGAGGCCATTGCACTGTGGTCAGATAACGCTTTGGTGGAGAAATTCCAGGGCCTTTGGGAGCTGTCTTTCTTAGTTTGGGCTTCTGTAACAAAAACACCATGATGTGGTGACTTAAAAGTATATTTCTCATGGTTCTAGAGGTTGGGGGGGGGTGTCCAAGATAAAAGTGCTCATCTGGTAAGGGTCCCTTCCTGGTGTACAGATGGACACTTGTCATTGTCCTCCTGTGGTAGAGAAAGAAGCTGTCTCCTACTCATGATGTATTACCTCTCAAGGCCCCTCCTCTGCACACCGTCACACTGGAGGTTAGGGTTCAAGGTAGGAATTTGAGAAGCCCAGAGAGTTAAGGGGGTGGAGTTGAGGACTCAGGATGGCCTTTTGGAGGTGACTTTGGAAAGGAAATAGGTTTTAGTTTTTGCAGAGACCAAGAGGTGGGCAGCACAGGCCATTAGGAAAACAAGTTGAGCTGAAGCATGGAGAGAGGCGTGTGGAGTCTTGCAAGATGACTTTGGAAGGGAAGAAGCAGTGGTCAGGCTTACTTCAGGTGCTCAGAACTCTGGAGCCTCGGGGCAAGCTTCCCCCAGGGAAGCTGTTCTGAGCATGGGAATGGCAGGTGGATGTTCGGTTTAATATCATCATTCTGCTTGCCTACTAAAGAACAGTTGGAGGGGGAGGCTAGGCCCAGAGAAGCAAGGGCCTGGAGCTGCAATGGTGGGGACAGAAACATGTTTAATTTTCTTTCTGTGTTAACAGTTTTTTAAGGATAATGCATAGATCACTGATTTCATTAGCGGACTTGGGGGTGTTTTCTGGCATCCCTGGGGAGGGACCTCAAAGCCTTGGAACATGCCAGGCAAGCTGTGTATCGCAGGGTTCATCCCCAGTAGGTACAAAAACATAAGGGTAATGAACTTTCCTTACATGGTGATGGGGTCCAATCCACATCTTCATATACACTAAGCAAGTGCTCTACCATCCCGTTACTGTACCCCCAGCCCAAGCTTTACAATTGATGATGACATAGATGGAAGGCATAAAGTATACGAATCTTACATGCACCTCTAGAGGTGTTTTTAGTTTTAGGCACTCATATAACCACCATCTAGACTAACATGGAACATTTTCACCCTCACCCTGAAAATTCCCTCATGACTCGCTATTTATTGTGTGCCCCTTCCCCTGGGAAGCACCATTCTAACTTGTGTAGTTTCTCCTTGGTTTTGCCTTTTCTTGAATTTCATGTACATACATTTTGTTTCTGGCTTTTTTTCACCCAACATAATGTCTGTGAGATTCATTTGTGTTGTGTGTATCTAGGAGCTCATTCTTTTTCTACACATTCACAGAACACTTAATGCTGTCAAAAGAACTTGACAGGTGTTCATATAAACACTCAACTCTCTGAGGTTTTAAACAAGGCATTGGGGACACAGGTGTGAAGGAACTGAGCAGGATCACCCAGCCGCTTCACAGCCAGGCTGGGGGTTGCAGCGCAGGCATTCTGTTCTGGAGCTGAGGTTCTGATGCGACACTAGATGGCCTCCAGGATCCCCGCTAAGTCTGCGCCTGTCCTTGTGTGGATTAAGTGACATGTGAACGCTCAGGACTGAGGGCCTGGATGTAGAGGGAGGGAAAGGAAGGAGTTGAGGATGGTTGCAGGTTTCTGGCTTGAGCAACTGGGTGGGTGGCAGTGCTGTTACTAAGATAGGAAACACAGGAAGAGGAACAGATGGCATAGGGGGTGGGGAGCACAGACAAGGGGTTCAGTTTGGGGCCCGTGGAATTGTATGTTTTCAGGGGAAGGCCAAGCAGACATGCACATTGAGCAGTTGGTCCTAGGGGTCTCTGACTGGGCATACTTAGGGAGAAACTCAGCACCCAATATATGGCATTGGAATTGGGGGCACCCTGGGGTCCCCATGGGACTGTGGTGGGAACAGGATGTGTGCTGTTTGTCCATGTTGTATGTTTCCCTATGTCTGAGTGTCCCTGTGTGTGTGTATGTGTGCCTGACTCTGGGTCACCAAACCCCCATCTCCTGGGAGAGCCCATAGGTCAGCTGGGAGCTAAGTTGTTTTTATTTGTGGTTTGCCCCAGGGAAGGGGATGCTGAGCCTGAGAAACTACCCCCGGAAACACCTGTGCAGCCTCTTCCCCTAGCCCAGGGTGGGAGGAGGTGGCTGAGATGGGAGATTTTCTTTTTGTACTTGCTTGGGGGAGGCTGGCCCTAGGGTGAATTTTTACCGAGTTAAGCCATTTACAGCAATGCCCCAGGATTCTGGGACTCTGGGAGGATGGAGATGGTATGTTCGCAAAGGACACCTGAGTGGGGACAGCTTTCTGTTTGGTTTTTCCTGTTATCTGTTTCCCGTGATGGCAGGGGGAAGGGTTCCCCAGCTCTGGGGCCTCTCCTTTCCCCTTCCTCCTGGCTACCTCATGGAGGTTTGGTGGAGATCCAGCACTGAGAGTAGCTACTCGGCCACAGAGCCAAAGTATCTCTGCTCAGCCCTCAAGATGGAATCCTTGGGGTTCCCAAGGCCGAGAAGGGATTGACATGCTGAAGTATTCAGGGAAGGAGCCCGGAGCCCCAGTACTCAGAGGAGGCCAGCCTGGCTCTCTGGCTGCATTCTCCTGAGGGCTGAGATCCCTGAAATCCAATCCTGACTGAGGCTTTTCCTAGAGTGCTACATGTCAGAAGCTATAGGCCAGGGAGATAGGGGCATCATCTCAGGTAGTTAGTTGCATTATTAGAGATTTTTTATTTTATTTGTTTGTTTTTTAAAGATAGTCTTACTAAGTAGCCAGGCTGGGTTTGAACTTGGGATGCCCATGCTTTAGTCTCACAGAGTTCTAGAATTACAGAAGAACGCCACACCTGGTTTGAGGTTTGTTTTTTTAAGTGGAAAAATAACTTCCATGTGAGGTTAATTCAAACCAGCACAGATACTAGATTGCTGGTAGAGGGCAAGATGGGGTGAGTTTTAAGATCAGATCAAGGGCCCCGGTCACAGTCAGGCCTAGAGGCAGGGGACTTTTCCCTGTGCATGCGGGGGTTTCTGAGGGAAAGTCTGAGAAGCTCCACCACAGGCAGGAGGAGCTCGGGAAAGTCCTGCCCTGCCTGCGAGCAGAAGCTGCCTGTTCCCAGAGTGGGAGCCTGGTCAGCCTGCCTGGAGCCAGCTGCTCCAGTAGGGCAAGGTGGTGGGTCTTGGTGGGAGTGTGGAGCCAGGAGGAAGCAGAGGCAGCATCTGAGGGCTGTGCACGGTGCAGACAGCTTCACAGATGCGAGCGGTGTGAATCACCCTTCCAGTGAGTCAGCTCCCAGGATTCCTGTCATGGAGTGAGTGGGGCCCGGCTGAGTGAGGTCTGCTGGTCCATCTGTCTGTCTGCCTGCCTCCCGCCCTTGCCTGCATGGATGTGTGGGTGTATGGCAGGAACGTGCCTGGCAGTTTACTGGGAAGTCCCTGGCAGAGGTTTGGGGAGTAGAAGGTTCTGGGCTGCGGATTTGCACATGGTCAGAAGAGGGGGCTGGTGGCTGGAGCTGAGGGCCGGGGCAAGGAACTGACAGTTGGGAGGGCCTGTGGGGAGACCGGTGGTCATGGCCAGCAGCCTGCCTCCTGCGCAGGGTCAGCTTGCTGTTACTGTCTGACTGCTATTGAATACTGTCTCAATCCTGTTCCAGGCTGACTGTCCCCAGCTCCCCAGAGGACCCTTATCCCACCATGACTGGACCGCTGAAGAGGAAGTTTGACCAGCTGGAAGAGGACTCTTCGTTTTCCTCCCCTGCCTCCTCGGGGTGTCCCTCTCACTCCTGCTCGCTGAGCTTTTCGGTCTCCCCTGCCTGGGACTCCGCCGAGCGCAGCCCCTGGAGTCCTACACCTCCGCCGGCCCGGGCCATCTATGGCCCCCAAAGCTTCACCCGTGAGTGCTCTCCCTGGGATCTCCACCACCCTCTGTCTTTCTGCCTGAAAACTGAAGTTAGGAGGCCTCTGGAGGGTCAGGTCTGCAGCTGTGGTTACTCCGCCATGACGGAGTGGTCACTGCGCCACCTGTCCCAGGACGTTTGGGCACAGCTGAGTTGCCTTTGGCCTTGGGAGTGGTGATGCTGCTGCTGCTCCTTGGAGTGGCCCTGGGCCTCCTGCTCTGCCTCTCCCTTCTGTTGCAGTTTCATTTCTCCTGTGTGCACCCCACCCACCTCCAAAGCAGGCGGTGCAGGGCCACACCCCACACATCCCTGCCAGGCCTGACCCTCTGCAGAGTGCTTTGCCTGCATGCAATGAGAAAGGATTTCTGTTTGTTTGTTTTTTTGAGACAAGGTCTCAAAAAACAAGCTGTGTAGTGCAAGCTGGCCTTGAGTTCACTATGTAGCCCAGGCTGGCCTTGAACTCATGTCAATCCTATCTCAGCCTCCAAGTGCTGGGATTAGAGGCTGTGCCATTGTGCCCTTCTGTTTAACTTTTTTATGTGTAATGTGTACACATATATGTATGGACATGGTACCTTTAAAACATGCTTTCCTCAGTAATGGCGACTGAACCCAGGGCCTTACCACTGAGCTGCATTCCCAGTCCTTACTCAGTTTTTTATTTACTTATCTACTTTTTGGTACCACAGATCGAACTTGTGACCTCATGCTTGTCAGGCAGGCCACTTATGCTGCTGAGCTAAATCCCCAGCCCCTTACTCAGTTTTTATTTTCCGATAGAGAGGCCTTGTATCGCCTAGGTGGAACTTAAACTTAGTGATCTTCCTGCCTCAGACACCCAAAGTGCTGGAATCTGAGGCATATGTCACCATGCCTGGCTTAAATACTTTCAGCACATGCCATCTAACAGTACAAACTAAAACATTTTAGAAGAGAAACTCAGGTAACTGGGTACAACAGTATGAAGTGGAAATATATGATCTCTAATCTCAGCACTCAGAAAGAGGCAGGAAGATTGTAAGCCCGAGGCCAGGCTGGTTTACATAATGAATTTAAGGCTAGTGTGGTCTACATGACGACACCCTGTCTCAAAAACCAAAAAGAAAAAGAGAAATAGAAAATTGCCAGTATTTGTCCAGTTTATAAAAATCTAGGTACATATATTATTATATGTATAGAGAGCTTAGTAATCAGAATATAATCAGTGACTTATAAAAAGAAGACTGTTGTAAGCCTGTTGTAAAACACAGAAGCTATAAAGGAAAAGATAAATATGTACTTTTGATTATGCAATCCTTAAAAATAGTGTGAAGCTAGGCAGGATGGTACATGCCTGTAACCCCAGGACTTTGGGAAGCTGAGGCAGAAAGATTCCAACCTTAAGCCCAAGCCTCAGTCACTCGGTGAGACGTCATCTTAAAATAAAACTGAAGCAAGGCCGAGGCTGCAGTTCAGTGCTGAGGGCCTGTTCAGTCTCCAGCACTGCCCTCCACCTGAACTGTGTGTCGGTTGGGAATGTGGCTCTCAGCTTCAGTTCCCAGACACAAAAATACACACATACATTCATTTGTGAAATGCCATAAGACAAGTGAAAGACAAAATTATTGTACATATTATCATCCCTAATATATATAATTAATAACGAGAAAGCCGTCCAGGGACCTGTGTGGCTGGTGAGGGTGTTTAGTCTCACAGATGCTACCAGTTAGGACCGGGCGGTGGCTGTAATAAGCATGGCTGGCCCAGGCTTCGCCAGCTCTGCCCCCTCCAGGAGGTGTGTGGAGGGCCGGGGGAATCTGAGGAGAGGCAGCCGCGTGGTCTTCTTGAATTGTAATTAGTCCTCCGTTCCTTCCGTTTCCAGCGCTGTCCATCCTGAAGCGGGGTCCTCGGGTGCGCCCAGCCCGTGTTGCCTTCGACGGCATCACCGTCTTCTACTTTCCGAGGTGCCAGGGCTTCACCAGTGTGCCCAGCCGAGGAGGCTGTACTCTAGGCATGGCCCCTCGCCATAGTGCCTGCCGTCGTTTCTCCTTGGCTGAGTTTACCGAGGAGCAAGCCCGGGTCCAGCGAGAGAAGCTCCGGCAGTGCTTGAAGGAGGAGAAGCTGGAGACGCTGCGGAGGAAGGTAAGGCGACCCCTGGCCCTGGCAGCACCTGGAATCCTGACTTCGGGTACCAGCTGCGAGTGTGGGGAAGCGCACTCAGGGGCACCGCTCATCTACATTGCCCGCAGATGTGGGAGGCTGTCGGGGTGCCAAGGCTTGGAACCTGAATCCATCTGACTTCTGGGAGGGGAGGTGACACGGGAGGACCTGTCTTTGCAGTGCTCTGCCTGTGTGCACAGATGCACCACAGTGCCTAGCACGCAGCGGGCACTCGGGAGAGTGCTCGTATCTGCTTCTCATAACTCTTCTCCATGCATGCAGCTTTCTGCAGCTGGGCTCCCAGAGACAGAGGCTGGCCAGCCCCTCACAGTGGACACCATCGACGATGTTTCAGTGGAAGAGGACTTGGCAGCGGCTGTGGCAAGTGGCCGTCTGCAGGAGGTGAACTTCTTGCAGCCCTACCCAGCACGGCAGCGGCGGGCTCTGCTGCGGGCTTCGGGTGTGCGAAGAATCGACCGTGAGGAGAAGCGGGAGCTGCAGGCACTGCGGCAGTCCCGGGAGGACTGCGGTTGCCACTGTGACAGAGTCTGTGACCCTGAGACCTGCAGCTGCAGCCTGGCGGGCATCAAGTGCCAGGTGCGGGGGCAAGCGAGCTGGGCATGGGGGTCCAGGTCTGCTGGGTCGTGATGTTTCCAGGGTCCTCACTCCCACCTGCTCTCTCTGCAGATGGACCACACTGCCTTCCCCTGTGGCTGCTGCAAGGAGGGCTGTGAGAATCCCAAGGGGCGTGTGGAGTTTAACCAGGCACGAGTGCAGACCCACTTCATCCACACGCTCACCCGTCTGCAGCTGGAGCAGGGTGCGGAGAGCCCTGGGGAGCTGGAGGCCCCTCTGCCGGGCAGCTTGCCCGGCTCCTGCAAGCCGGCCACAGTCTCCGCATTCCCCCTGGCCAAGCCTCCTGTGAGCAGCGAGCTGGGAGACAACAGCTGCAGCAGTGACATGACTGATTCTTCTACCGTGTCTTCGTTGTCAGGCACCAGCGAGACCCCAGACCTCCCCAGCCACTCAGGCCTGCCTCGCTCTGCCTGCCAGCCTGGCGTGGATGATGACAGCCTGGCGCAGATCCTCAGCTTTAGTGACTCGGACCTCGGTGGGGAGGAGGAAGGGGACGAAGCAGGTGTGGGGAACCTGGACAACCTCAACTGCTTCCTCCCGGCTGACATCTTTGGTACTGGAGACTCTGTTGGGCTGGCCAGCTGGACCCACAGCTACTCAGGCTCTAACCTCATGTCTGGTGTCCTGGATGAAAATGCCAACCTTGATGCCAGCTGCTTCCTAAACAGTGAAAGCAGCCTTCCTGGCACCTCAGTGCCACCCAGCGTGGATGCTGGCCAGAGCAGCTCAGTGGACCTCAGCTTGTCTTCCTGTGACTCCTTCGAGCTGCTCCAGGCTTTGCCAGATTATAGTCTGGGACCTCACTACGCCTCCCAGAAAGTGTCTGGCAGCCTGGACAGCCTTGAGGCTCCACACTGCCCTGTGCCTGGCTTCTCTCCAGCCACAGAATCCAGCATGTGCTTCCTGGAGTCCCTCATGGGCTTGTCTGAGCCAGCTGCCGAGGCTCTGGCCCCCTTTATTGACAGCCAGTTCGAGGATGCTGCCTCAGGGTCTTTGGAGCCTGTGCCGGTGTGAGGACCAGGCTGCCATTTCCCTGCCCCAGGAGCCCAGTGCTGCTTTTTTGTGATTTTGGGGCTCCCCAAGGTTTAGGGGTATCAGTCTCCCATTGGCTGGCCCAGCTACAGGCACTCCTGGTTTCACGCAGTGCCCAGTTTATTTATTTTTATGGATTCTTCATGCCGATGAGGGTGGGGAGGGGATTTCGCCCTTCAGCCTGGTTCCCCCACCCAGTGCTCTTCCACCTTCACAGCGTGGGCCAGAAAGATGACCCCTTTGGGCCTTTGATGTTCCTAGCCCAAAGAGGGCAAGGCAGGGCTAAAATCAGCCACCGATGGCTTCCTGTTTGCTCTGGGCCATGGGTGGCTGACCCTCTGGACTGTGAAGACTAATTTATTTCCGTAACTTATTGGGCTGCTGAGACGGCTCTGGCTGGTGGGCAGTGCTGGGAGCGAGGCCCTCTTCGTGCTCCACCCTGCCTTACTCCGCTGGGCTTCGATGGAGACCAGAGGTGGATCTCCTTTGTCAGTTGCCTGACTCCTGGATGGCTGAGCCAGTGGGGCTGGGCTGACCGCCATGACCAAAACTCCTTCTGCCCTCTCCAGCCCCTCTGTTTCTTGCCCTCTGGCCGTCTCCCCTCTCCAGAGGCCGAGGACACAGGAGGCAGGCCCAGGAGAGTAGCAGGCTTGTCTCACGACTATAGCATGTCCAGGCCACGTCTCAGGCTTTCCGGGCCAGTTGGCGAGGGTCACTCCTTAGGGTTCTCATGCCCTTTGTTTGCTTGTACTTAATTTTGCATCCATTTTTATATTGTCCCTAAGTATCAGAACTATAATTTATTCATTTCTCTGTGTGTCTGTGCCAAGAAGCCTGGGCTCTGGGCTGCTCCTTGCCAGCTTGGGTGTGGGAACACATCGTACCTGACCCAACAGGTACCAATAAAGAGGCTCTATTTTTAACAGTGTGGTCTGCGTTAGTGGGATGGTGAACGGGGCAGACCTCTGGGAGGTAGGTAAGGGGGAGGATGGCCCTGCAGGCAGTGTGGACACTGAGGCCGTGTCTTGAGCCAGAAGGGGTACACAGCAGACGGGGCCTTCTTCCAGAAAGGCCAGTCAGCTTGGTGGCCAGCTGGGCAGGTGGAGCAGTTGTAAATTAGCCTGCTGCTGTCCAGTGGTCATCTGGGGTAGCAGTAGGGAACAGCAGCAGGTGCTGCTCTAAGAATGGGTGCTCTGCTCGGGGTGGGCAAGGGCACCTTTCTCTTTGTGGATACAGCCTCATGGGCCCCAGCCCAGAGGGTAAGTCACTGCAGGCAGGGCAAGACGGAATGGGCCTGGTGAGGACCTGGCCTAGGAAGAGCACCTGTGGTCTCGGGGGACTTGAGCACCAGCAGCTACAAGCCATCATCCATCTGCACTAGCCAGACCTGTCTGACCTGTCCCTGGCAGGCCAAGCAGGCTGTGGTCCAGAAGAGCAGGCCACAGCCTGCCCCAGGGAGCCCCGGTCCGGAAGTCTGAGGGGCAACCCCGCTTTCTTCCCAAGGAGTGGTAGTTCGTGAAGGTCTGGGAGAGGGCACCAGCAACGCTGCAGACCCTGGCTGTGCGTGGACCCTCCGCTTACGATGGGCTGTCCGGCTGCGCTCCTTGGCGTGGACGGAGGACTGCAGGCTCAGATCCCAGCTCCCTTACTGCTCTGGGAGGTGACACAGACTACCTGCTCTGTGTCTGTGTTCCCTCAGTACTGTGCAAATAGTGAGTGTGGGTCACATACACAAAGCACGTAGAAGAGCAGCTGGAACACGCAGCCCTGAGCCCACGTGAGGAACTTCTGTTTTCCTGTTTCTGCTGCAGTCCTGTCACCCTTCAGGTATTTGCCTCTGCACAAGCTTGGGCAAGACCCCATGATTACAGTAGTGGCCATTAGAGGACTCATGCCTTGGCATCTGGCCTGTGGTAGGATAGCTGTCCCTAGAGAGTGCTTGGCTTTGTCTTTTTGAGACAGGGTCTCTATATAGTTCAGGCTGGTATAAACTCACTTTGTAGCCCAGGCTGCCCTCAAATTCACAGTGATCCTCCTGCCTCAGCCTCCCAAGTACTGGGATGCAGGTGTGCATCGTCACACCTTCAGCCTTCTGACAGTAGAATCCAGGTATTGTCCTGTCTTCTCTCTCTTCCCTGGTGCCTAGAGATCCCTTTGCAGAGACACTTCAGCGGGCATGATCCACGGGCCTGGAGAGTAATATCCTCAGGGCAGCCCTCAGCAGTGCAGGGCCTGGCCAGAAACCCCTACAGGGCCCTACTGTGTGGACTCAGCCCAGACAAGACAAGCCTGTTTGCTTCCCGATTCGTGCTTTCTTCAGCTGCTAGGACTACAGGGTCAGTTCTGTTACTGTTTTTTAGATAAACGAAGACAACTTTGGTTTTCCAGCAACAAAAACATGATTAATACACAATCCTTTTAGAGAGACTGCTTCTCAGTCAACCTATCTCAACAAAACTGGGCTGTAATGCAGCTCACAGTGAAACACGGGAAGATGGCAATAACCTGGGGAGAGCATTCCAGATCGCCAGCTCATACCGAGAGGCACGCACGTGATCAGCAATGCGTAACAAGACAAGGCTTCAGCCACTCACGCTCTTCTGAAAGGGACATCTGTTCATTGTTCCAAACCTTAGTCACTGAACAGCTCAGAAGGTCTCCCATGTCTGCATTCTACCCACACTGAAGACTTTTCTTCGAATCAGTTGCATCAATATGCCTAATAGTCGGGCCCCGTGGAACAACACCTATGGACTCAGGAGTTTGTTCCGCTAGAAACTCTTCTCTCATATAAACACGATGTATATACACATTAAACTTCTGGCTAGATTTGGTCCCACCATCATGGGGGTGGGGCTGCCGTCTATCACTGGCAGAGAGTTGTCCCATGATTTGGAAATAAATCTGGCCTAATTCTCTGCCACACATGGGGACACTGAGACCAAGAAGGCAGGGGACTCGGGAAGGTCACTGGGGAGATCCTAGGTCCCGACTCCCAGTTCAGAGTTCTGAGGGTGGGGTGGCCCATGACTGTCACCCTGAAAGACAGCCACAGTGGTACTGGGAGCACACAAAGGTCACCCACTCCCTTGCCAGGCGGGAGGAACGTTTGTCAGCGTCAGAGTACGAACTGCCTGGGTGGCCTCCTGGAGACTGAAAGGGCTCCTGGAGGATGAATTACTTGGCCAGTGACTTTCACAGAAGCTCCAGTGCGGAATGTTTTTCCTAGGAATGTATTTGTTTCAGGAAAGCATAATACATTTGTCCCACACTGGTGAGGACCAGGCGGAGATGTGGAGGACAGGGTGGGAACAGAATGTGAGTATAAGGCGGGCAGTGGTCCTCTCTTCCTGTGGCTGGTCCACCTGGGCCCCAGTGGGCAGCACGGTAGGAAGGAACAGTCACTTCTTTGGCTCCAGCATGATGGAACTCCACAGGACAGGGAAGCATTTAAAAATTGCTATAGGGTGTTTCTTTTTTTCATCCGCTGGGATTCCCACCACCCTCTGTTCCCCTCTGCTCCCTTAAGAACCTGCCCTAAAATGGGTCCTGTTAGAAGTAACCAAGGGCATTCTTGTAATCCTAGCACTTAGGAGGCGAGACAGGATGACTGCAGTGAATTTGAGGTCAGCCTGTATCAAAAATTAAGAGGTAGCATACCAGGAGCCCAGCAGAAGCCAAGCCAGCTATGTCTTCTCCTTAGCAAAATTGCTTCTTGGGCTTCGAAAATGTAAAGTTCTAGGATGGCCCTCAGCCCAGGTGAGGGATAATTCCAAATAAACCACGTATGATACAGAAACATGAAAGAATACGTCATTTACTAAATTTCTTCTTCACTAATCCACTTCCTGTCCCTCCACGAGATGCTGCACATCAAAGGTTTCCACCAGCCATGGCCCCCTCCGGCCACAGTTAGGGCCTCAGTGACTTTTGAGCTTTTTCCAAAATTTCTTCTCTGATCTTGGGGTAGCTGGGGTGCTCCCTGAGGACCTGGTACAGAAACAGGATGGGCCTCAGCATCAGGCAGCGGTTCCAGCCACCACACCTCCCTGCCACCGCTGGTGCCTTACATTGTGGCAGACTTCTATGGCTTCCACAAATTTTTTGGCCTTCAGATAGTTGAAAGCGAGTCTGAAACCTGACCAGGGACAAGGAGATGATAGATGGTGGCACCCTGAGGAGGCAAGCACCCCCGGGGTTCCCCCAAGATCCTGGGTACACACCTTGAGTTCTGGTGTCAGGGTGGGGCCCTGGTGCCAACCTCCCTCCCCACACCTGCCATGGGCACCTTGGCCAGCTACCTTACCAATGGCAGGGTTGGCCTGATGGCTGTACTTCCACGCCAGCTCGTAGCTGGTGGCTGCGTCTTTGTAGGACTGCTCCTTCTCCATGATGAAGCCCATGTACTCATAGGCCTTGTAGCAGGACTGCAGGAAAAGCCAGTCAGTGCCCCCACAGAGGGTAAGCTACCACCATCCAGTGCCGGAGTTGAAGCAGTCTGTGAGCCACATTAAACCAAACCACACAGGGACTTGGGAACACACTCACTCTGCAAAGGACTAACTGTGTACCCCGAGTCCCTGCTAGCCCAATGCAGGCTGGCATAACAACTTTCTGAGAAGGGTGTTAGTGACACACTCCAACTCAGCAGATACTCCTCTACCCAAACTGAGCACTGGGACTCCCCCTGACCCCACACACTGCATCTGTCACCTTCTGTCCTCCCATACTCCCCTCTCCTGTCTTGACCTGTCACTAGCGCCCTCAGTTCCAGTCTTGGGATTCTGCCCACATGGACCTCCCATCCCACTTCCTCCAGTTCCTCCTTTTTTGTCTTTCTTTGTGGCAGGGTCTCACTATGTAGCTCAGGCTGGCCTTAAACTCAACTTGGTAGCCCAGGCTGACCTCTACCTTGCAGTGATCCTCCTGCCTCAGTCTCCTGAGTGCTGGGATTACAGGTGTGCACACCACACCCAGCTTCCAGTCCAGTTCCTACTCCACATCTCTGTCTTCAAAGCCAGTGCACCCCCTGGCTGTCCTGAACCTCCTGAGCCCTGCTTGCCCTCTCCACCCTTGGAAGCCAGGGTGCCACCTTGCCTTATTGTACTGGATGCAGTGGCGCAGTAGCTCCGTGGCGAGATCGAACTTGCCACCTGAGCAGTAGATATCAGCCAGCAGAAGCCAGCTCTTCTCCAGGTCCTCGGCTTCAGCCAGTGTCCACGGGGCCTTGGCCAGCCGCTTCAGCTGCGTGCGCGCCTTGGGGATCTGCTTCAGCAGCACGCAGGCCTGTGCCATGCCCAACAAGGCAGGGACACTGTCTTTCTACACAGGGGTTGGGAAGTGGGGGTAGGAGTGTCTTGGCTGCTGTCATCCGCCACGCTAACCAGCACCCCCAGCCCAGTTGGCACACCTCAGCCTGTGCGATCTCCAGGAAGGCTCCAAGTGCGGCCTCCACGTTGGCCTTCTCCCTGGTGGTCAGTAGGCAGAGGCTCTGCAGCAGCCGCAGCTGGGTCTGCCCAGAGGCCGAGAGCGGGTAGAAATCACGCAGCAGCTTCTCCGCAGTGCGTATGCCCTGCTGCTCAGATTCCTTCCTGGTGGCAGAGCCCTGGGCCTCAGAGGCAGCCCCAGCTGATTCCCCCGGAGGCTGCAGGTGACCCCCCATGCCCACCCCGCCTTCCACAGGCTCCTGCCCCTGCTCGCAGGTCCTTACTTGCTCTTGGTCAGTTGGTTCTCGAAAGCCTCTCCACCTACAAGCTCGTTGTCTGGATTCAGACAGATGTGCACCATGTAGTAGTTGGCCTTCTGACCCCAAGTGATATCCTTGCGGGCTTTGTTTAGGAACTTCAAGGCTTGGTTGGGCTGTCCTATGTGCCTGCCGGGAGGAAGCCGAGCATCAGGGAAGCAGATCCACAGAGTACAGGGAGAGGCGGGCTGTGTGTGAGTCCGAGAGACCTGGGGCTGGGCGGCGGGTCTCCTGGCTCCATCTTTCTGCTCCTATCAGCCTGAACGAAATCTTTCCATGTCCACTAGGGAAGGACTCTTACATATGGCTGCCCTCAACACACCCACACCCAACTCACCAGCAGTAGATGCCCCTGCAGTAGTTGAACCCTGGCTCCATAGGCACCCGGCTGGACATCTTCTGGGCAGATTGAAAGAAGGCAGGAGCCTCTTCAAGTGTGCCACTTCTTCGTAGCAGATCGATTAATTTATCCAATACCAAAAAGTTGTCTAAAATCAGAGGGCAGAGATCTCCAGGTTGTGAAGGCCAACAGCTGCATCAGGCAGAAGTGGCAGAGTGGCCTGGTAGGGAGAGAAAGCTGGGGTGCTGAGCCCCTAGGAGGAATCAGGAGACCCTGCCCAGCTGGGCCAAGCAGGCACATTCCTGCTGCAGTTTCTCAACTGAGTAATACTGCTTAAAATAGTAATGTTAGCAGTTAACATTCGCATACCGCGTAGTCTGCCTGCTCCTAGGTACTTTCCTACATATTAGTTACAGGATGAAGTAGGTTTCCTTACTGTTCCTGTTTCACAGAGGACAGCACTGAGCAAGCAGCAGTAAAGTATCTTGCCAGAGGTGCACTGTTTATGAGGATTCAGGCCAAGGCAGCCCAACCCCAGGGACTTGCTAGATCTAGGGCAGTCTGCTGAGGCCTGCAGTCTGGCCAGCAAGAACGGGTGCTCTTATGCTGCACTGAGTGGGAATTGAGCTGCCCAGCAGGGGAGAATTTACAGGCCCTCCAAGTGACCGTGACCTCAGAAGGGGCTGGTGTGGAGCCTCAGTGGCTGGGACCTCGGAACAGACAGGCTGTCCTGGACCTGGTGCCAAGCGCTTGGGACCAGAAACTGGCCCCTTGGACTCGGAAAGGGCCAGTACATCCACTGGGTCTTTATCAGTTTCCTGCCATGCTGGGAACAATTGGAGAGGAAGGGGCTTCCTCTGCCCAGTCAGGAAGGAGGGGAGAGGACGCACCCTGCTCCAGGAGGGCAGTCCCTGCTGGGTGGGAGCCCACAGGCAGTCCCAGCGGCTGAATTACCTGGTGCTTTCTCTAGAACTTGGTGGTACAGGTTAAAGGCTGCGTCGTAGTTCTGTTTTCTAAACATCAAGTCAGCCATCACCTGTCAGAGAGCACACAGGGGCTGGAATTCCCGAGGCAGCTTGACCTGGGGTTGGGAGAGCTGGGGGTGGTAAGCAAGGAAGGCAGGAAAAGGCTTCCCAGGCGAAGCAGCTTCCCGAGGCCTTGAGGGACGCTGCCAGGCAAAAGCCCACGGAGCCCGGGCCCCACCAGAAGGTGAGCACGGCACAGAGTTCCTTAATTCTTTCAGCAGAAGCCTGACCTCTGCCCTTAGGGTGGCCCTGGAAAAGGCTGAGGGGCAGAACTGGGAGGGTCTTTCACTACAGTGGGTGTGGCTTCCTGTAGCCAATTCACCGCACCCAGACCCTGGTACTAGCCAGGAGGTCGCTGCTGCTGCCCCCTGCTGGCCAGCCCACTCTGCCCACTTCAGGGTAAGCTGGAGACAGGTGCGGGTGCAGAGGCTTCTCGGCCTGAAAGCCCCTGGGCAGCGGGCCAGCAAGGCAGCAGTGTTTAGGGTTACGTGTCCAGGAAGCAGCCTGCATCTGGTCACAGGGCCCTAGGGAGGCCGAGGCGGTGTCTTGGTCCTCTTACCACAGAGGCGCTCTCGTGGGTCTGATCAGTCTGCAGGAGGACGGTGCAGTGCTGCTCACAGGAGTCCAGGTATCCCTGGAGCAGGGAGAGGCGCGCCAGCTCCAGCACCACCTGCAGGGAGGAAACTGTGGCCTGAGCTGCAGACCATCCCTTAGGAGGACCCCGACTCCGGGGCAGGTTCCTCCCTCTGCCTCTCTGCACCCACAGGCAGCTTCGGATGCATGACCACAGAACCACCTATGCTCTTATCTGTCCCCCCTTGTCCTCAGGAAACCTGGGGTCGAAGAACATGTCTTTCCCCACAGTGTCTCTGAGGCCTAGAACAGTAACTGATTCCCACTAAGTACCTTGAGATGAGTGTTTATGCAGTGAGAGAATGGGCCTGTTGCTAAGCTCTCCACTCTCCCTGCATGGATGCCAGCTACTCTCCCTCAGCTGGAAACACATTTCCCTCATGACTCCACGCCTGCTTGGAGGCTTCCGACCCAAGCAACTCTGGCGGCTGCAACCCTTACCCTCTCCCTGCCTCCAGAGAGAACCCAACATAAGCATACCACATAAGCATGACTTTCAGCAATTTCTTCTCCACACCTCCAGTGATGGCGAGAGTGAGCCTTTCTGGCCTTGCTCCAAGGGCCCCAGCAGGTGGGGGCCCAGGGCCAGCTGGCACAGACCTTACCCCAGAGGCTGCTGTGCCCTTTGTACCTGCAGCTTGGCAGAGAAGAACCTGACCTCTGCACCCACTCAGGGAGCTCAGGAAAGCACTGCGCCTATGAAGGAGCAGGGTCCCGGCTCAGGGCCACCTACCTTATTGTCAATGGGTGAGTAGGAGAGGGCTTCCTTGTAAGACTGCTCTGCCCTGGCATAGTCCTTCTCTGCCCAGTAGAATTCCCCGAACAGCATGCAGATGGAGGCCGCCAGTTGCTTCTGGGAGGGGAGCATTTCTGGTTGCTCTAGCGGAACCCGCTTTAGTATCCGAGACTGCAGGTTCAAGGCCTTGGGAAACCAGCAGAGCTGGGGTCAGAAACTCAGGGCCTGACATGCCAGTTCCCACAAAGTCTCGCACTTTTATTTCAGAGCCAGTAATGTCAGAAAGGACATCTTAAGTAACCTTGAGCAAAGCCAGATCACTTTGGACAGGGAAAGCTTCTCGTTGAGTACACAGAAAGTGAGCTGGCACTGTCCCCAGGGCAGGAGCAAAAGCCAAGGCACTCAGACACTATGGTCCTTAGCTGTGTCTCTATCATGCCTGAGGTCCTTTAGAGAACTGGTTTTGTTGGCCCTACCAGCTGGATCGAGCACACAGTAGGTGCTCGAAGCAGGCTGGGTTTTGATGAATGCATCTGTTCTGCATGTGCATCCCTGTTGGGAACTTGAGGTAGGCCCAGCTAATCCCCCTGACACAAAATGGTAGGTGAAGGACCGCCAGTGGAAAGGATTATTCCGGGGCCAAGTTAGAGGCCATGAGCAGCACTCAGCTTCTCCAGGGCTAAACAGAGGGATAAGAATTCAGTGGTCAGCATCTGAGAGGGAGATGTCCCTCCAAAACCACGGCATGCACAGTGGGAGACTTCCTTCTGGGAGGGGAAAGCGAGGAAGGTGTGCCAGGAACGCCGATGCTGGGGGACAGTCCAGGATGGAGGAGGCTGGGGCTGGGTCCTGGCAAGGCCTGATTCAGATCTCAGCCCCACCCTTGCTAGGACACATCTGATCTTGACCAAAAGGCCAGTTGTTAGTACGACATCCCTTGACTTTTAATGGCGTCATGGCCAGCTAAACCCACTGTATGCTGAAGATCCGGTAAGTCAAAAAAGCATTTAATACACCCAACTTCCTGTGTAGCGCACACGTGCTGCAGAGGGCTGTTTGCATCATTGAAAGCTCTAAAAGGTTCCCCAGCACTCTGTAGGCTGTCAGTGGTTTACTCCTGAGATGGAGTGGCTCACTGGGAAATGTGGCTGGCTGTCATTGCACAGCATCCTAAGCATACAGCACCCCACGTTACCAGTCCAGAAAAAGATCAGACTCCAAAGTTCAAAGTATGATTTCCACTGCATGGTGGGACTCTTACTTTCCTGCCATTAGTAAGTCATGAAATCCTAAGTCATGAGCATCTCCACTTAACTTTGCACACATATCTTGACTTCTGTTAGAAATGTGACAGTGTTTATCCCAAGTCACCGCTGGAAATTAAAGAACAAGAAGAGCCTAGCACAGAGCCTCGCATGGAGCTCTCAACGCATGGGGAGCCTGACACGGCCATCACTGTTCCTGTGTCACCCTTGAGGTGCGTCACGTCCGTTACCCTCCCCGTGCACTCTAGGGCCCCATCGTGGATGGACCAGCATGTGGGAATGAACAGACTGTGAAGTTCAGAGCAGGAGTCAGGGTCCTCTCTTGAGGAAGACATCTGGGACTTTTAGACCTGCAGCCCCTCCTTCCGTTTCAGCTGCCATCAGGAAATGGCAGATAAAGAGCAGAGTGCACATCAAGTACCTTGTTCAGAGTCTCTGACACCTCTTCTCTTTTATAGCTCTTATAAACCTTCGCCAGCAAAAGCAAGCACTTAACATCGTTCATCATGGATGGGATGTCTTTGACTGCCAAAAAGAAACTCAGATTAGTGCTTGGGCTACCGGAAAGCAGGACCCCAGCTGCCCTGGGAGAGACATGGGCACAGCGTGCAGTGTGCTGCCCCAGAGGCTAGAAGCCGTCTGGAATGCTGCCTCACCGAAGTCATGTTCCAGTGCCTGCTTCAAAACCTTTTCTGCTTTATTGAACTTCTTTAACTTCAGGAGCAGTTCAGCCAGATCGCAGCACAGAGAGTCCTGCCCGCTAATCTTCTGAGCAGCCTCATAATAATTAATTGCCTTTGCACGAACAGGAAATGGTCTCAGGGTCCGCTCCTGCACTGGAGTGCCTGACACCATGTCACCCCAGTGCCTACCCCTCAGAAGCCTTGATCGATCTAGTGAGTCCTCTAGCTGGCCCAGGGCTCCAGCCTGGGCCTAGCAGGAGGTAGGTGCTGAGTTGGCCCGTTGGCACCCCACTTAGCAGGGAGCTGGGATGCAAATGCAGCCACTCTCCCCCCACCCACAGCCCCACTCCTGTGCCTGCTGGGCCAGCCCTCCCTGCCCTGCCTGCCTGGGCCAGCCTGACCTTGGAGTACTGGTGTGTCTTCACATACGCTTGCCCAATCCTGCTGACCAGGGAGGCGTCGTGTGGGTTCTTCTTATAGGCCTCGTTGTACACCTCCAGGGCCTTCTCAGGCTGGTAGGGAGAGCAACTGTGAGTCTTCCTCTCAACTCCTCTAGAGAAGTGAGGCTGGGGGCCACGTGGCAAGGCTCTGAGGTCTCACACTCACCTCCTGAATCTTCATGAAAGCGTCGCCCAGGAGCAGGCTGGTGTGGGGACCCGGCAGATGTTCACAGAGCTCACTGAAGGAGAGACCAGGCCTGTGTGCCCTCCCATTCCTGGGTCCACCCTTTGCTTCCTTTTTCCTATTGTGGCTAACATCATTCACCATCCAGTGACCGGAGAGCCCAGTGTACACAACTCATGGTGCTGGCTGTGGCTTCCTTACCTGTCCAGACCTTCACCTCCACCCCTCCAGGGCCCTCTTCCTGAGGCAGCCAAGCTGTTCTCTGTTGCTTTTCCTGTTGTGCTGGAGATTGAACCCAGGCTTTCCTGCATGCTAGGCAAGTGCTCTACCACTGAGCTACAGCCCCAGCTCTACACTGCTTTCCTAAAGTTCCAATCTGGCCATGCCACCCTGCTGCTTACTGCTAAGCAGCACTCCCCTACCTCCTTCCCACTGCTAAGACAGCCTCCCCTACCTCCTGACCCCCACCTGAAACTGCCTACAGCTACTTATTCCTGAAGAAAGATGTTGAAAAAGTGTCCTTCAGGTCTTTCCACCAAATCAAAAGATGCAACAGCTTGAGGCTGCCCATCTTCAGTGTCCTGACACTGGTCCCATCCAAGTTACTGGACATCTCCCCAAGGAGGGGCACGGCCAGGGTCTGGAATGGGAATACATTCCATGGTTCCCTTAGCAGCTCCCCGGGAGCCAGGCCCATGGGGGCCACAAGCCCCCAAGGGGTGCAGAGGACGGAGAGGCAAGCAGGGGTGGGGGCTGATTCAGCATTCACACACAGGCAGGTGCTCTGACATATGGGAAATTCTATCCTTTGGCCAGATGCACTCTGAGGACACATTCTGCATACCCAGTTTAGAGAAACACAAACTGAAAGAACGTGGCCTGAGATACTATCAGTGTGCTGAGCTGTCACTGGAGCTCACCGGTAGCATCCAATGTAGAGGTAGGTATCTTTTCGGTTCTGCAGGTAGATGCTGGCCATCTTCTCCTTGGCTTCCATGTAGCAGGGTTGCTTGGATGTGATGTCCTTCAGCATGCTCAGGGCCAGGTCCACATTGCCCTTGCTCAGGGCCAGGTCCACATTGGCAATGGTGATGCTGATCTCCTCTGTCGTGCCGCTGAACTCGATGATGGCGTCCTGCATGACCTTGGTGGCCTCATGCTAAAACACAGCAATGAAGTAGACCTTTCACTGAGCATCCTCCACTAGAGGTGGCTCGACAACACTTACACTTCTCCTGGAGCTGAGGGGAGGCATGCCTGGTAAACCCTGACTCAAAATAATACTAAAGCCTGGGGATGTAGCTCATCATGAAGGCCCAGGGTTCAATCCTCAGGGCCTCAAAAAAACAAACAAAACAAAACCAGAAAGCTGGCCCAGCCAGCCGTAGGCAGGAAGGAGATGACCTCTCAGAGTCCTTGCCAGTGATCCTGGTGCTGAGGAAGGAGCCCAGGGAGCTCGGGGACACGGGACCTTCACGAGAACCTGCTCTCCAGCACCTCAGAACCCTCGCCATTCCCTCCTGTGTGAGAACTGCGGGCGGGTGCACCTGGTACTTCCCACTTTGGGCCAATGATATTTTAACGTTCTGCTGACCGGCATGTAAAGGTCAATCTGGTTACTCTGTCCTGTTCGGCACTTTTCCCCCTTGAATTCAACCTTTGTAGAAACTAAGGCTTCCATCTCCACCAGCTGTTGGCCTGCAGTGTTGGTTCCACCATCTCGCTCCTATCCTGGGCCCCTTAGGGTGTTAGGTGTAGGTTTCACTGCTTCTTTGGTTAAACCATTTTAGAAAGTCCTTTTTATTATTGTTATTATTATTTTTTTTTGGTGCTGGGGATTGAACTCACAACCTCACGCTTGCCAGGCAGGCACTTATGCAGCTGAGCTAAATCCCTGGTGAAAGTTCTTTTTATTTAGGTATATTTACTTCATATCATTATCATAAATATATGTTCTTCCATTTTTGTCAGTTTATTTTGTTTCTGCTTTTATATGCAGTTTGTGGTTTGCTTTATTTCTGCCTTGGACCTGTGACCTTGTTTCCTTTTATTTTTTATTTATTTTTGGGGGGGTAACTCATGATGAATTTGGTGGAAATAGTCTCTTTTTAATTCTTTTAATGATCATCTTTCTACCATGAAATACTTTTTTTTTTTTTTTGTCTTTTCCCTTTTTATCGGTACCAGGAATCGAACTCATGACTGCCTGCTTGCAAGGCAGGCGCTTATGCCGCTGAGCTAAATCCCCAGCCCCTTACCATGAAATACTTTGAGTAAACTTATTTCAGGCCCTTCCTTCTAGAGATGAGAGAAATTAGTGTATACTTCTTCCCACTTTCTTCCTAGTCTTCTCTTAAATTTTTGCATGTGGTATTATAGTGAAAGTATTGCTATTTTAAATTTAATATATTTTATTTCAAGAATTTAGCAATTAAAGCCTGGTGTGTGGCTCATACCTGTAATCCCAGCACTCCAGAGGCTGAGGCAGGAGGATCGTTGTGAGTTCGAGACCAGCCTGGGCTACAAAGTGAGCTCAAGGCCAGCCTGAACTGCATAGTAAGATCCTGTCTCAAAGAGACAAAAAAAAAAAAGAATTTAGCCATAGATTTAGCTTAGTGGCATAAGCACCTGCCTGGTGCAAGACTGTGAGTTCAATCCCTGGTACCAAAAAAAAAAAATTTAGCAATTATACTGGCTTAGAGGAAACATTACCAGTTATTCAGACATAGATTCATTTAGATTGGTTCTGTGGTTTATAGGATTTCTTTTTTTTTTTTTTTTTTTTTTTGTACTAGGGATCAAATTCAGGAACTGTTGGATTTCATTCTTATCCTATATCTCTAGTTTGATTTGTTGCTTTGGTTGGCCGAATTCTATGTACAAGTAGGTTTCTCAGAAGTGCTATCACTCTCGAATTAATCCATGTTAGTGTCTTTTATTGCTTTCCTATGAGAGCTATCCTGAGGGACCTTCTGGTTTTTAATGTTGTCCTTCTTTCTTCTTGACACCACAAGACAGGGCAGGCCAGAGGCCAGCGAGGCCAAGGTAATGTGCAGAGTGCAGCCCGTGGCTCTTATTGCCTGTTCTAGCGAGGTTGGCCAGATGCTTCCTGCCTCTGTCCATCCAGAGCCCCTGAGGCCTTGAGGCTGCCCCCAACAGGTGAGTTTATGTATTACAGCACTCAAGGGGGCTCAGCTCATAAAGACTGCGGTTAGCACCCACTAGACTTACAGGATGCCCAATCCACACAACCACTAGTGGTGGCCCTGATGGCCCTGCATGCTCTGCCTCTCTGGAATTTTCATGGGGACAGTGAAGTGGGCAAGGGCCATGTCCTGGAGGACCCAGGACTCGTCTTGAGGGCAGCTCCTAATGAAGTCGCTAGGCCAGGAAGAGCTGGGCTCTCAAAGGTGTAAGAACAGCAGTACTACACAATGAACACTGGCAGAATCACACAGCCTGACCTTTGGGCCAACCTGCTTAGGTCCAAGGGAGGCAATGAGGCCCTTCTTACCAGCTCTCCGTTCAGCCGGAGGGCACTGACCAGCTCCAGGAGGATGGACACCCGCTCACTGGGCTGCACAAAGGGCCTGCGGGTCTTCCTGCCTTCTTCTGCCTTCAGGGTGGGCAGTTTCATGATCATTTTCAGGGTCTTTATGGCCTCCTGGTAGTCCCCGGATTTGTTGAGGGCCCTGGCCTTGATCAAGTGATACAGTGGGTGGTCTCTGACCTGGAAGGCACACAGTAGCGCGTGAGGTCCAGCTCGCTGCCCCTGCAGCTCACAGGAGGGGAGCCGGGGAATCGGGGCGCTGCCCCTGCCTGTAGCCACCTAAGGTCTAAGAGGTAATGGGACATGTAGGGCCTATAGCCTGCTGGGTTTGGGGTGCTGAGTGGGCCACAGGGCACAGAGGACTCCCACCTGGAAGTTGTGGCTGACGCCCAGCTCTAAACAGTGGGAGCACATGGCAAAGTTGCCCTGCACTAGGTAGATCTGTGCCATGAGGAGGTGGGCATCTGTGGAGGTGGGGTCCAGCTCCAGGCAGCGCTGCACGGTGCTCTGTGCATTCTCCAGCTCTCCTGCAGATCACAGACAAACCTCCACCCTGGGTTCCTTGGGGCCCCAAGAGGGAGAGGCAGAATGGGTTTTCCAAGCCTCGAGAGTCAGAAACACCTGTGCTGGCCATTTTAACCAGTTCTGTTCCTGTTCTCCTAACACAAACCATACACTGTTGCCCTGACCCAGACAAAAGTCAAGACACTCAAAGCTTGGTGTGACACTGCCTTGTCCCTGTAACTCACAGGGGGCTGATGAAGTCATTTGGCTGCTGTACCATCTGCAAGCTCCAGGAAATACATCTGAAGCTCAATCTAAGCTCCACATCTAAGCATAGAACAAAACTTACCAACGTCAGCAAGCTAATAGAGTTTACAGAGCACCCTCTATGTTCAACACATGAAAAACACTGTACAAAGTCACATATCTGTACAACCCTGGGAGGCTGACATTAGGGATTCTTGCCTTTCACTTATATTTTACTTATTCTCTGGGTTGTTTTGAGAGAGGGTCTCCCGCTATAACTTAGGCCAGCCTTGAGTCCACTATGGACCCCAGGATGGCCTCGAACTCCTCTTGCCTCAGCCTGGCGAGTGCTGAGATTACAGGCATGAGCCACCATGCCTAGCTCATTTTTAATTAGTATTGCTTCTTGCTAGTGCTGGGGCTATACCCAAGGCCCCTCGTGCATGTTAATTCTACCACTGAGGTGTGTTCTCAGCCCTGATCCCTGTCTTTCACATGTGGGTCCTAGGGCTCCAGTAACATAAACTGCTTAGCTCCAAGGGACACATTCTGCATTGAAGCCGAGCCCGCAGGCTTGGGTAGGAGAGGGGTACCCTGAGACTGGGACCTCCTGAGGACAGGCTGATGCTTACAGGGAGAGAGTATGAGGGAGCCTCCTCCCTCTGCCTTCAGGTCCAGCAATCCTCTGGCTTGGGATCCATAAATTGATGGGTGGAGCATGCCTGCTTCCTGGTCCCAAAGGCCCTGCTTCCTCCTGCGTGCTATGGGAAGGTGGGAACCCCGCCATGGCAGCCTAAGCACCTAGACACTTCACTTTGGTCCCAACCTGCTGGAAGCTCCTGGCACAACTCAGAGAGCCCTCCCTATCTGGCCTTGAACCCAGACAACCTTGATGACATAGGTAACCCTGGACCCAGACGGACAAAGGGTGAAACAGAGCTTTCAGTAGACTGAGATGTGATGTGCTGCCGGAGGGCAAACGCATGGCCACACTACTGTGTTCTGGACCCAGCGGATGCTCCCAGGCCACCAGACCTGGGCTGGGTTTTCAAGATAGGGTGAAAGGTTTCATTGAGAGACCTGCAGGGGAGGGGTCCTGGAAGATCAATGTGGCACCCACAGAAAGCACTGGGGGCCCTGAAAGCCTCATGATCCCTTTTCTCCATGCTGTCTGTGACCTTTTTCTTTTTGCAGTACCGGGGATTGAACTCAGGGCCTTCATGTGAGCATAAGCTACATCTGCAGCACTTTTTAATCTTTTGAAAATCTGAGACAAGGTCTCGCTGATTGCTAAATTCCCCTGGATGACCTTAAATTTGCAATCTTTTGGCCTCAGCTTCCCAGAGTGCTGAGATTCCAGGTGTGCAGCACAGTGTCTGGCTCTCACAATCCTTTTTTTTTTTTTTTGGTCTTTTTTGTTTTTATTGGTACCAGGGATCGAACTCACGACTGCCTGCTTGCAAAGGCAGGCGCTTATGCTGCTGAGCTAAATCCCCAGCCCCCTCTCACAATCTTTTTAACACTGACACTTCCATCTCTGCCTCCTTCCTGCTTTAGTTCCCTCTGTAGCCTGCATGCCTGTGACAGATACTGTGTCCTGACAGGGATGCCAGCTCTGCATCACAGAAGCTCAGTGACTCTCACCTGCACAGATCAAGGAAGTAATCGCAAAGAGACCTGGGTGGGAGAGGCCCCTGCTGGCCAGGGTGAGCGGGAAGGCAACTGGGGCCTGGGGGCTGGAGGTGGTGTGCAGGCACAGCCAGGAGCAATTGTTCCCTGGATGTAGACGACTTCGGGAAGGAGGCTTGGCACACCGTGGTGCAGGCAGACTGGGAGCCTACCTGAGAGGTACTGGACCTGACCCATCACATACAGGGGGTCTATCAAGGCAGGGGCCGCCTTCACCACTGGATTCAAGATCAGAGCAGCTTGTTTAAGGAGTGGAGACACGAGCTGGCCTGGCGCCCGAGGCTGTGGAGACACAAGGACCTGATTGGGTGCTTTGCCCCTTTCTAAGACAGGCACCCACAGCACTCTCCGTGCACACTTGTGGCTTCTCTCCCCTCTGTACCACCCAGTGCTGGAGTAGGAAGCCAGAGAATGGGGACTTTGTTTTGTCCACTGTCCTCAGCACCTAGTGTGGTGTCTGGCACTCAGTAACATCCTCAGTCAGTATTTGTTGCCTGACTCACTTATTACAGGGTGCTGTAGGGAATATTAAAGACTTTTAAAATTATGATCTTTGTGAGGAATCCTGAGTTGCTGGCAAAGCAGGACAGGTAAGTGTAGACTGACAGAGTTCTTAGAAACCGTCTAGAAGAGGGAGCCATATTCTTGCTGAAGTACAGGCATGGGGCAGGGCCGGTGTCCTGATAGACACACAGGGCTCTGGGCTTCACCAGGATGTCAGCGTTTGCATCAGAACCACCCACAGGGGACCTGCATCCTGCATCCTGCACACTCGAGTGTGGAAAACACTGGGTTCCTTGGCTGACCCACGCACAACAGCCTGGTGACACAGGACAGGGAGGGTGGATCCTCCCCTAACCTGCTTGGGGCAGAACTGCAAATACTCCTTGGCAATGCAGACCAGGAAGGGGGGGTCCAGCTTCTCGAGGTACTGGGGGCTCAGAGGCAGGCCCTGCACATTGGAGAAGTGCAGCTCCGCCGCCTCCTGCAGGAGTGCTGTGACCTCCTGCTCTCCCTTGTGCTTCTTAGATGCCAGAAGGGCTTGGAGGAAAACCAGCACCTGCAGAAGACAGTCGCAGAGCTAGCATCAGCCTGGGCAGAGTCGGGCAGCAAAACCGAGGGGGAGCCCAGGGGTGGGAGGACAGCGAGACAGGGCCCTGGAGCAGTCCATTCTCCCGGGGGGACTGACCTCGGACCTCCCCAGGGACTGCTGCACCTCCTTCAGGAACTCCAGCTGGTGCTCGGCCTCCTCCAGCTCATCTTTCAAGATGTGGCACCAGATAGTCCCTGGGAGCAGGATGGAGTAGAGATGAGCAGCCAGCTCGGAAGCAGAGCCAGTGGCCACCAGGTCAATGGGTTCATGAGCCAGGCAGGAAGAGGTCCTGGGCAGGTGAACTGACACCTTTACAAACTGAACAGGGAGACCTGAAACCCTGAGATGACATTAAAACATAGCCCTCGTGTATCCTCTGTTGTCTCTCTAGTGACCACAACTGTTGATAAGTTGGGCTCTGTCCCTTCAAACATTTACTTAAATACAGATATTAACGTACATGAACACACCTCCCAGCTCAGGGAGTGCAGTCAGCGGTAGTGGTGTTGCCTGGCATGGCTGAAGTCCCTGCATCCTCAGCACCATAGCAAAGCAAATCCACATTTCTAGGTATGCACGTGAGCATACCAATTTCTTTTTAAACATAAAGGGAATCTAGTTCCCTAGACACCATCCTACAACTTGCTATTTCCACCTTATAAACAGACTCTCCCACTGCTTCACGAAGATCTACCCCACTCTCTTCAACGATAGCATATGCACCGACTGGGATGTAACCAGGTTGCATAACTGTTGGCCACTTCATTTCATGTTCAGTTCATTTCCAATGTGTAAATATCACAATGCCACGGTGAACATTTCCTAGCTTCAGATTTTCCAAAGAAAGCTGTAGTGCACAGGTAATGTGTTTATATATATATATACATTTTTTTTTGGTCTTTTTCGTTTTTATCAGCACCAGGGATCGAACTCATAACCGCCTGCTTGCAAGGCAGGTGCTTATGCCGCTGAGCTAAATCCCAGCCTGGTAATGTATATTTAAAATATCATGGACAAGCCAACTTGCCCTCCAAATTTTTTTTTTTTTTAGTTTACAGTACTATCAAGAATTTTAAAGTGTCACTTTCCCAAAACTTTGCTAAAAGTTTTAATCTTTACCAGTACCAAAAGTATTCGGATTTTTCATGACCAGGAAGAATTAGTATTTTTCACATTTTTGATGTCCTTATTCTCCTGTGAGTTTCCTGTTCATAGTTTGTCTGTTTCGTGTGATTTCCCCCCTCTATATATAAAGATCATTGATCCTTTGTTGCATTTTCCTTTAGTTTGCCATTTTTTTTCTTTTGGTACCAGGAATCGAACTCAAGATCTCATGCTTGCCAGGCAGGCACAGTGCTGCTGAGTTACATCCCTGTCCCTATCATTTTAATTTTAACTATTTTTGTGATCTAGTACATTAAAATTTTTAGACGAAAAGGTGAGATATTTTCCTTTATAGCTTCTGAGTTTTCAGTCTGCTTTAGAATCCCTAGGGAAACTCACATTTCAGTTACTTTTATATTTAAAAATAATTAAGGTAAAGTGGAGCCCATACGGAAGAAAAGCCAAGGCAAAACAAAACAAAGTAGTATTTACTTCAACTGGAATCTGGTGCTCGAAGTGGACTGACCCTCATGGCTTTCATAAAGGAAAGTCAGGGGTCTGTCCAGGAGTTACTGGATAGCCTGTCCGCTGGAGACCAGGCATGTTATGCCCCATTCATCTAATTTGTTCATTCCAGCCAGCACTGGCTTCCAGGTGACTTCATTACTGTGGTTTTATGATATGTTTTGATGTCAGGAGGGAAAACTTGCTGACCATTCTGGTTTGTTCCAGAATGTTCTCTTCAGCGCCATCTTAGTTTTCAGTTTTGGCCATTGCAATATTTGACCTGTTTGAGGAACTTTTTACTTTGCCATCATGTTTTTAATTTCTGGCAACTCTTTTTTGTTCTCTGTACCTTCTTCAGCACAGTTATGTTCTTAACTGATAACAACGGTCTCTTTAAACTCCAAAGGTAGTTTGGGCAAAATGTCTTTATACAGTGGGACTGCTTTTTGCTCCTCAGACTTCTAGATTTACAGCAGTGACTATGGGTAGCTGGGAAGATTTCTCAGTTGTTAAGGTTGCTGATTTTCCCTGACAGGCCCTAAACAATGGTGACCCCAGGACTGTGGGTAGGACAGGCCTTCTGATCACTGCATGTTCCTGCCTGGCCACCGGGGCTCTCCCTGAAATGAGGGGAGGGCTCGGCCTGCGGGGTACACGCTAGGGGCTTTTGCCTGTGTGCTGAGCACCCAAGGTTTATGTTCTCCAAGGTCCTGTTGGTGGTCGCAAGTCATCTGGGGCCTTGGTCTTCTCTCTCCTGCCTCAGTGGCAAGTAAAATCTCTTTAATTCTAGGCTTTAAACCTGGGGAAGTTCCGAGAATCCTGCCATTACCTTGATAACTGTCCACTGACATGCTTTTCCACCTGCTTCTGGTAGCTCTGAGCTCCATTCTTTTGTTTTCCTGGAGCTCTTTGGGGAATGTTGGTCTATTTCTTTGGCCAGCCCATCTCTGCTTTTGCTGCTTTACAGGGTTACCAGAACTGCTCGACATTTTCATACATTTGATACCATTTGCCCTCCATGTCCACAGAAGATAACTTTTTCTGATCCTAGGGCTATAATAGACTCATGATCTCTTTAAAATGTCTTTCATTAGCCAGACATGGTGGTGCACGCCTGTAATCCCACCACTGGAGAGGCTGAGGAAAGAGGATTCTTGCAAATTTGAGACCAGTCTGGGGCTACAAAGTGAGCACAAGGCCAGCCTGAACTGCATAGCGAGACACTGTCTCAAACCAACAAACAAACAAAAAAGTCCTTCATTATTTTTCTGGGAGTTAGGGATGGAGGAGAAGGATGGTTCTGAGGGGCCAGCCTAATGTGCTGAACCAAAAACTGAGATCAACTACTCTGACAACTGCATTATCCTGAGGGGGAAGTGACTGCCCATGCACAGCTCCCTGGAGCCAGGCCAAGCAGCAGCTGCTGCGAACACCGGAGCTTACGGCTCTTCAATCCCAGCTAATCTGCTTTCTGCATGGAAGTGAGGCTTTAAAATATATGAAGAGCAAAATAAAATGAAAACAGGTAAAGAGCAAAATAAAAACGAAAATAACGCTCCTGTTTTCCACCAGGCTGAGTCCTTCCCTACCTCCACCTGACATTTGTACCAAGAACAAAAGCGTCTGGACAGACAGGAAGTAAAACTATTGAAACTCCTGTGCATGGCAGCCTCGTTGCTCAGGGACCTTCCCAGAGAGAGCTGCAGAGGGGAGGCTGGGGTGCTGTGCGTGCGTGTGTGTGTGTGTGTGTGTGAGAAGAACAGGCTCCAGTGTTGCCTGTGAGCCTGAGAAGAGGCAGGGCCCACAATGAGGAGACTGGCCTTCCAGGGGAGGGCAGTCCAGTAAGGATGGGAGGGTCTGGCGTGGACTGCGTGTGTCTCATCCCAGCCTGGGTACCTGCATGACTCTTCTGTGCAGAGGTCTGGGTTCATGGGAAGGTGGCTTTGCACATCACCGCCCCAGCCCACAATCTGGGAGAATGCCCATGAGGGACAGCCTGATTGCTACTGCATACCCGCCTCCCACCCCGCCTGGCCTGCCCGCCTACACAGACCTGCCAGTGCAGCCATACTGTTCTCTCCGAGTTTCATGGCCTTTGAGTACCACAGAGCTGCCTCCTTCTCTTGGTTCTGCAGGATGAAGAGGTAGCCCAGCTCTGTGGCCACCTGGGCACAGGAAGGCACGGCCAGGAAGATGCGCTCCATGAAGTTACTCACTAGCTGTAGGATTGCCCGGTGCCTTCCACACTGTAGAGAGCAGGCATGGGGCAGAGATGGGATAGGGAAAGTGAGTCCAGCAGGGCTAAGCAAGGCCACATCAGAAAAGGGACACTGGCAGGCCTGGGGAGGACCATGACACTTCCTAAGTCTCAGCAGCTATGTCTACAGAGCTGTCCATCTCTTAAAGAGATGCCACCAGCCACATCTGGGTGCCTACTTATGGCCACAGGGTCTTCTAGGGCACTCATTGTGTGGCTGCAGTAACTGGCCAAGAAGTCACCAATAGTTTTTTTTTTTTTTTTTTTTAACTGAAGCTGGGTAACAGAGGCTCTTCAATTCTGATAGCCCAGAGTGTGGTCGTGTCCTGGGAACAAGGATGAGGGACTCGGATTCACAGGTGGAGGGAAAAAGTTATTGGTGGCATCTGCAAGGCAGTGCTGGCCTTGCACTGAGCCCCTGAGGCCCAGAACTGCTTGTGTTCTTACAATTCCTTCTGGTCAATCTTGCTCTGGGGCTGAAGAGTCTCACTAAGACACAGATTGTTTGCAGTCTGGTCTGTTTGGCCCTTTCCTGATGTCAGAGAGCCCGGACCTTCCCAGATCACTCCCACAGAAACAATGCGGGCACTGGGCCAGTGCTGACTACCCAGGGGCAAGGCCACTCTCGGTCCCCAGAACAGTGGCAGTGCCCTAAAACAGTTCCAGACACATCTCTCAAGTCTTCACAGCATCCCCAAGGCGCACCTTGGCCAAGGATTCACAGTACTAGGGCTCCTACCTGACAGGCCCACTTGAGGGGAGGGGACCAGGCAAGTCACTGAGGGAGCTTCTGGAAAGTTGAGACTTGTGCTAAGGAAAGCACAGAGAATCACAGACCAGGGGATGCCTTCTTACCAGTCTGCAGATCACGAGAACTTTCTTCAGATGGAGGCTTGGATTTTGAGGCTCTCTCCTCTCTAGTGCCTTAATCAGATTTCTAACATGATCAGTAGCCTGTAGAAATAAAAAAGAAATTGTCAAAGGCAGTATGTAAAACCAGAGGTGGGCAGTGACTCTCAGTCCTGGCTGCACATTTGTATCAGCTGGGAGATTTTATAAAAACTGCCCATGCTAGCTGGTGTCATCCTGAGATTCAGGCTTAACCAAACGGGCACATCCCAGGCTTCTGTGCTCCTCCCAGGATCCCTAAGTGGAGCCTTAGGGAGCATCCTTCCCCTGAGCGCTGGTGCTGAGTAACACTTCCTGTCAGACCCGCCGGGCAGCAGCAGGAGTAAGCCCCTCTGTGCCCACACTACAGCCCAGCAGGCCAGCAGTGAAGCTCCCGGGCTGGCCAGGCCTTCCCTCCATTCTGACCTAAGTCAATCACATGGGTGTCTCTCTGTCCTGCCAGTGAACCCTCCCAACAGCCTATAAGTTAATGTCACTATCTAAACTCTTTACCCAGGAGCAGGGAGTCCTGAGTTCTAGCTGTAAAGGTATGCCAAGAGAGGAACTCAGGGCGGCAGGGCCCACTTTGCTCAGGAAGTGAGGACAGAGTGAGACCAGACCTGGGGATGGGGCGAGGAACAGGCCGCCGGGTTTGGCTGAGCCTCAGACAAGGCCCAGGAAGGCTGGCCTAGGAGCCCAGGAAAGCCCTGTTCTCTTGTTCCCCGCAGTGCGGACAGCAGCCTCCACCTCACGCTGTCACAAAACCTACAACCTCCGAGGTGTGCAGAGATAACTAGAGGCTTCCTGTCCTCCCCAGCACCCACCAGACACTCTCAGTTTCCACACACTCCACAAGGCAACATCTTCTCTTTACTCAAACTGTGATATTTAAGCAAAAACACACCCTTTTTGAAAAGAACCTGTTTGAATACTGACATTTTATTAAGAATTGGAGGATTTTTCCCCCTCTTGCATCTGAGGGCTATTTTAGGAAACTACAGGCTTAGGAACAAGTCTGGGGCCAGGAATACACGACATTGCCTGAGCAAGTCCAGTCATTTCCTAAGATAGTGGCATTTCCTGTAGTGAGCCACGGTGGCAAGAGCTCATCACCGCAGTCCTTGGGCGAAATGAGGCAGGGGACGAGGCCAGCCTGGCCTGTATAGCAACACCCTGTCTCAAAAAACAGCTGGTCATTGTCTAAATTCCGAAACCTACCATGGCTCCTACTAGCCGCGAGCACTGACTGAAGTGCTGTGGGGTACTGAGAGCTATTCCAAACTGTCCCACTCCTCACCCGGTGTGGGCCTGCTCCCACCCCCGAGCCCTGGGGAATGACGTGTGTGTCACCAGTGAGGTGGCTGATGCTCAGCCAGGTACAGTACACACGTCACGCAGGCTCCCGCAGGTGGCAGCTGGCAGAGCCAGGGCCAGCCCACAGCTGGAGGCTGCCCATCGTGCTCTTCCTGTTCTGCCCAAAGGCTCCTCAGCAGGCACAGCACGGGGAAAAGGGAACTGAGACCCAAGGGCACCTTCCGGGGCTCGCCTGGGGCTGGGGTTTGCGTTGTGAGCGGCTCACTCCCGAGTCTTGAAACAACTTACTGTGGTCACATTTCCTTCTCTCATAAGCTGATGGACCGCTAGTATTTGGCAGGCATCGATATTGCTGTCATCTTTTTCAAGGATTCTGAGACAGGAAGAGAAGCCACGTAAATACTGCCAGAAGAGACTGGGACAGGGTACTGGCAACTTTTGATCGTCTCCTTCCTAATCTTCAGTCCCCATTCCTCTTTTCATATCAGAAGTCCCAAGTGAACCACGCACATGGTACCTGGCACACAGACCACCCTGCCCAGCTTCCCGAGGCAGCAGAGGGGTGACCATATGGCCAATTCTGGCCCACGGGATTTACGTGATGTGTGGGACATCCAGGGAGGAGCAGGGAGGAAAATATATCTGCAGTTCCAGCCCTCCAGGAGACAGAAACAAGAGAAGTGTAAGTCTGAGCCTATCCTGGACAAATTACTGACTCGATGAGAACCTATTTCAAAATAAAAATTTAAAAAGGGCTGGGAAGGAGGCTCAGTGCAAAGGTCCTGGGCGCAGAAACAACAACACACCCACACGCACACCCACATCCACACATACATATCTGCACTCAGAGAGAGTTCTGAAGTGCCATGAGAGAACTCTGACCATCACTAAGAGGGTAAGATTTCATGGGCTGGGCACGGGGGTGCTGGACCAGCTGGCTGGCACCAAATGCTGTGTCTCTCTGCACATGGTGGACACACAGGGCTGGAGTGAGACGTCCCCCCATCTGGCCGGCCCGAATCCTTCCAGGTGATTTGAGGGCTCAAGTACAGAATAAGCTTTGGCCACGGCTGGCCAGTCCGCCTGCAGGAGGAGGGCTGGTTGTTTGGGCAGCACCGACAGGCTCCCTGGTGGACAGCTTCTGCTTGCTCCAGCGCCTCTGTAACTGCCCTCCCCGGTACCGCCGGTGGAGTCAGCACCCCTCCACGAGAGGGGGAGGCATGCATTTTCATTCCTTTTTTTTTTTTTTCCAGAACTGGGTTGTATATTCCATTATAACTCAGTAGCCATTCACAGTGATAAGTCCTGCTTCACAACTCTTTTTAGCAAGAAAATCAGAACCACACATTTTAGAATCCATGATCAAAACAGAGTGCTAGAATTTAAAGAGCTAATCTTCAGTTGTGTAGGAAGCTTGGCCTCAGAAAGCCTTCCAGCACCCATCCCCCCCATCTCCATTTCAGCTCCCAGGTCACCCCACAATGGAGCCTGGTTTCAAAAACCCCCAGAAATCCTGACCTGCATCTGACTCACTCATGGACCTCGCCTGCTACTAAAACTCTTCTCTAAAAGTCCTCACAGCCTTTTGTCTGAAATTTTTTGTTTTGCTGGCACGGAGGATGAAACCCAGGGCTTCACACATGCTCGGCTATTGCTGAGCTACATCCCAGCCTTCTTTCACCAGAGAATGAATATTTATTTACTTCTAGCGGGGTACTGGGGATCAAACTCCCAACTTCATGCTTGCCAGGCAGACACTTATGCCACTGAGCTAAACCCCTGGCCCCATGCCCAGCATCCTTTGAGACAGGTTCTCATTAAGTGCCCAGGCTGGCCTCCAACTTACAATCCTCTCGCTCCAGCCTCCATATCAAGCTATGTGCCACTGTGCTGGCTCCTCCACATTTCTTCTGAACAATACATTGGTATTTCTAGCTCTTGATCTATTCATCTTAGGCCATGTCCCCTGGCCTCATGTCATGGTGATCCAGTTAGTTTGCTTACAGTGGTCCTCTGTCTCCCAGCACGATCCTGGCATGAGTGCACCCCTTCTCCATGGTGAGACCCACCTTCCGGTATCATCTGCACCTTGGCAAGCGAGCACCACCTCTCACCTGTGCACAGTTTCTATCATCTGTTCCCAGTCCTGCTGAGCCAGGAACAGCTGCATCTTTAGGATCAAGGCTGGCAGGAAGCTCCCCGAGGCCAAGGAGATCTGGTTCACCGTGTCCAGGGCACCTGAATAGTTCTGCTGCATCATGAGGTAAGTTGCCTGCCGGAGCCAGAGAGGAGCCTGGGTCAGCGTCTCCTGGGCTGGGGCGGGAGCCTGACATGGAGTACTGTGGATCTGTGCAGCAGGGCCTGGATGTCCCTAGAACCCCTGGGAGCAGGCACTGCTCAGTGACCAGGCTCAACTCCGCTGGGTTCCTGGGTGAGTGAGGAATGATGTTCCCAGAGCATGAGTGGCTCAGCAGGCCTGGCTACGGGCAAGGCCTCATGCAGGTCACCCCAGGGGTAGGACCGATGTCACTGGGCATCTTCCAATTCCAAAAATTGTCCATTCATTTCTGATTTTGTTTTCCTGAATTTCATCACCAGAAATTGCTCACTAAGGTCAGGTTTACAACTTGAAGTCAGTTAAGGTTCTTGGGTCTTGCTGGGGAGGTTATTTCTTTCTCCTATAAAGGCCCTGTGGGCTGGGCTACCAACACCACCAGCCTCTAGCAGACTTGACATTGGGTTTTGAGAAGATGGCTTAGCTCAGCTCCACAGCAAGCCTCCCCTAGACACTTCTAACTAGAAGCAAGAGAGGACCTCTCAAAGAGAAAGGTTTGCATGCAGTGTGCTCCCTGCAGCTCTTTCTTCGCAGGCTTAGTGGGAAGCAGCAGAGCACCAGCGGGGTGAACGACACCCTACCCACACAGCTGTGGAATGGCTTTAAGTAGATGTTCAAAATGACATTTGCTTACGGCAGACATTACATGAAGAAAAAGAAGCCCAATGACCACACTGTCTCCCGCTCCATCCCGCTGCCACGCATGGCTGATGGGTCTCAGTGGAGTGGCCCTTGGGCAGTGGCCCAGAGTTACAGAGTAGCCTTGCCCTGTCACTTTCCTGGGACAGCCTACAGCCGGCAACCAGTCCTGCAGGGCTACTCTGCCTCCACAGTTCCCAGGCGCCGGGCCAAGGCCTCTGTTGTAACTGATCCCAGCCCTGCTTCTGTGCCCATGACACTGCCGAGGGATTCTGTCTAGTATGGGGTTAGAGGTTGAGGTGCTGCAGCCCCAGCCCAGTTTACTATCTCTCTCTGTCTCTGTCTCTGTCTCTCTCTCTTTCTCTCTCTGAGAAAGGCTGAAACTAAGTTGCTAAGTTGCCCAGGCTGGGCGTAAGCTGTGGTTCTTCTGCCTCAGCCCCTCAGTGTGCTGGCATTGGAGGAGTGTGCTTAGACCGGTTTTAATGAGCTGTATAGACAGAAAATAATAAAAGAATATTTTTTCTCTCAATGATTGAGTCAGTGAGGGTCACACACACACACACACACACACACAATTTCGGTTAAGGTCAGAAAATGCAAAGCATAATTAAATGTATACCTCTCTTGTGACCACTATAGGACTTGAACTGATGGGCAGACAGACAGAAAAGGAAAGACAGTCGAGCTAAGGGAGTAGTAAGAGAAGCCATCTGCAGAAGCAGCAGAAGGGTAGCGAGAGCTGGAGAGACCCTACTGTGTGAGCTTGGGCTGGTTGCTGACCCTCTCTGGACCTCTCTTCCTCCTCCACTGAAACTGCCTGGACATCTCTGTTGCCAGTGGCTCAGCCCTGGGCCCCTTACCTCTTGTGTCCCCTCTTCCCACCTTTCCCATCAGCCCCAGCACATCCTTGTTGCTCTGAATGCCTTGCTCCAGGTACTTGATGGATTTCTTCACGAGGTGGGGCTTCTCTGAGGTAAGGTCCACCCAGCCTTTGAGCACACAGCCCTGTGGATGAAGACAAGGAGAACACGCCCTTGGCCTGAGCAGGCCTGGCCTAGCCTGCTCGCATTCCACCGCTGGCCTGCCAGACATTAGCAGGCAGATTTGTGGTGGCCCAGTGCCCCCTCGGCCAGGCCTCCCCTGATCCACCAGTGCTGGTTCGCAGCACAGCCGGGCGGACCCCCACTGTCCACTCCCAGCCTACTCCCCGCCATCCAACCGCTGCCACCAACTCTACAGGGTTGGGGCACCAGCCCTGGGCTCTGCTCTGAGCTGGCCATGCCCTTCACAGGGCTGAGCAGCAGCTGTTCTGAGCTTGGTTGGTTCTGGCCTCCCAGGGAAGGGAGGGGGTGACTGGGGTGGGGGTACTTGGAAGACTCCTGGCCCACCCTACCCCTCAGTGGTCTAACACAGGTTCTTCTGTTTCCATCACTGTCCCTCAAGGGCCTTTTAAAACAACCCCTCCTCGAAGAAATTTAATATCATAGACATGTTTTATTTAGGTATTAGGTATCATGTATGCATATCCATGCTTTTCACACACAGAGTATGATTTTTTTCATTCCCTTTCCCAAGAACCAATGTCTAGACCCTTGAAAAATGATCCCAGCTCTACTGAGAATGTCTGGCCTAAAGCTTTGGATTCTGAGTCAGCACAAGCACATGGGAATTGACACCTATTGTACACCTGAGCCACCCTCAGGTCACTGAGGGGGTGGGAACGGCCCATTGTGATCAGCTCATTTGGATTTTCAAAGAACCAGGAGATGTGGACTTTTAGGGACAAATTTCTGATTTCTAAAGTTAGCAGCGAGTTCAAGATTTGTCTTTAAAGTATAATTTAGACCTCTGAAGACCTGGGGACACGATTCTGGACAAACACACTGGGTTTCAAGCCTACAGGGGTGGCACTTCCTGCCCACCCTGGGGCTGCCCTCTCCAGTACTAGCACCCTCAGTGGGAGTCACAGGCCCCCACTGTGGTATGTTTAAAAGCTGCTCTTTTCAGCCTCTGACCCCAGGACAGTCAGCTACCCAGGTAGCGAGTACCTCTCTGGAGCTGCTGGAGACCTTCAGCATGTGGTCAACATACTCCTTGGCCTTGTCATGGCGGCCTATGAGCCAGAGGAAGAGGCCAGCATAGTACAGAGCAGTCTCACTGGCCAGCCTGTGGACCTCTTTCAGTTCGCTCTCCAGCTCCTGAATTGCTTCTCGATCTGTAAATCCAAGGGTGGAGGGCGAGAATGAGCAAGGACAAGGAGGGGGCATGCAGGCCCAGGGATCCAGCTCTGGACACACTGGCTCACCCTCCGCATGTGCAGCTGACCACAGGCCGGCCCAGGGCCTGGACACCAGCAGTACTTGCCTGAGATGCCACAGGGGCCACTGGGTCTGGACACAGGGCTGCTCTGAGATTTACCCTTTCCGCTCTGTGAACATTAGTGTGCTAAGCAGACAGATCCTGTGGGAATCCTCAGTCACAGGTCCCCAGCCCAGGCTTCGGGGAAAGGGCAGCTGTACATTTTCCTGGCTCCTCTCCCAGACTCCAGAGATGTGGAGACTGCGGGGGGGGGGTAATTTATATTGGCTTGAGCTTTCTGATGTGATCTTGGCAAAGGAAGGAAGGATCTTTCCCACTTCTCAGGATCGGCAGGGAGAAGCTCACATGCTGTATGCACTGTGCTGACTCCCACTCACTGGGCCTTGGCACAGGTCCTTTCTGAGGCCCCTGCGGGAGGAGCCGCTTTCTTCACTGGCCTCCATCAGTGGCCCTGGGGACTGTGGCTCTCTAGCCAGGGCCCAGCTCGGAAAGGTTGCACTCACCAAGGGTTTCGCAGCGTCTGTGAGCATACAGCAGGGCGATGATGGAGCACAGGGACAGGTCTGGGTGACCACGGACATTCTCCAGCTCATTGATGGCATCCTGGATACGCTCTGCAGAGTCCACATGGTTGTGCTCTCAAGATCCAGGCCCAGAGGGCAGGAAACAGATCCCTGCCAGGGCTGACCCACAGCTTGCACCACCTGCCTTCACCCAGCATTTGAGGATTAGCAGGGCTGAAAGGCCCCCTGTGGCTCAAGTTCCCTGGACACTGGTTTCCCTCCCTGTGAAAGTGCTGCTAGCACCATGGTCCACACTGCCGGGGGCTGGCATCTTGCAGCTGAGTGGTTTGCCTTTCAATACTTGCGTGAATACTTGTGAGGCTGGGACTATGTGTTGGGGGAGGGGGTGTCAGTGCACTCCCAGCGAATGCTCAAGAGTCACAAGCGACACTTATCCTCATGTCTCCTGACACTGGCACGTCCAGCTCAGGTGAACCCTTTGGATGTGAGTCTGGCTGCACAGCTCCCTGTCCTCTTCTGAGCCTGCACAGTACCTGCCTGTTCCTACATATACCACTCCCTCCCTTCTTACCTGCACAACCAACTGGCCTGCAGCTTCTAAGCCTGGAATTAGTTCAACAGTCATGTAGCCATTTCTCCAGCCACTCATTCTAAAGAGGGAAACTGAGGTACAGAGCAGGGATAGTGAGATGATTTCTCAAGGGTCAGCTACATACACACTGCACAGGCTTGTGTGGATTAATCTGTGTGACAGTCAATAGATATCCAGGAACAGCCAGATCTAGGTCAGCGCTGGGTGAATGCCTGGGGCAGAAAGCCAACAATGCCCCGTCCTTACCTTCCCTGAGGACTCCATAAGCTTTAAAGAACTGCAACACAGGGTCATTGCTGAATTTTTCCAGCCCCACAGCTGCAGCCCGCTGCACATGGCGGAAGTACTTTTCCTGGCTGTAGTAAATGATCCCAGCCTGTGTTGAGGAAGACACAGGTGTGATAGCCCCAGTGCTTCCCTGTCCATGTTCCGATCCAGATGGGATGAGATCTGCTCCCTTCTCTATCCACCCCCATGCCCAAGGCTTTGCAAAAAGAAGATAAAGAGGAAACATTCAGGTTTCATCCAGCCCTTTACCATCCCTTGGAAATCGCAGCAGGAAGTTTGCCCAGGAACAAGTCCCTAGGTCTTTGTCTGGAAATTACCACCAGATTCTGGTTAAATGTGATGCAGAATTCAAGTTTTGTCTTGGAGGACAATAAGGAGAAAGAGCAGTAATAAAAATTATACCAATAATTATAGGTACAAATTATTGTGGGCATACACCTGCTGGGGGCTGTTATCAAGGGATTTAATCCATTATTTTAGGTATGATTTTCTCTGAATCTTTCATAGTTAAGGAGGCTGAAGCCCATGGACACTGGCTTGACAAAGGTAATGCAGTAATAGGAGCAGAGATTCAAAGCCAAGTCTCACTTCCTCTAAGGTTTGTGGATATTGGGGTTGGGGACATATGTGGTTAGAGTGTAAAGGCTTTGTGTGTTCACATGAAAGAACCCAGTCATCAGCGTAAAGGTAATAAATTGGAAGCAGCTGGAATGGCTTTCAGCAGGGGAGGGATGGGTTCAGATATATTTCTGTAAAGACCAGTCTGGCTGCTGTGGGGCGGTGTGTGTGGTGGTGCAGGATAGGAGATGTGCTGAGGAAGAGAGCTGAAGCAGAGAAATCAGACCTGGTGAGGCTGTGGAAGGCGCCCAGGGGAGAGATGGTGGTGGCCCTGGGCTAGCAGATAATAAGGGCGAGAATCCTGGAATCATTTAGATGACATTTCTCATTGATAGGACTGGGAGATGGGTATGGGGAAGAGGTAACAAAATTAAGGCTCTCAGGTGGTGGTGGCACCCACTGAAGTGGAGGACACAGAAAACACACAGGTGGGGTAGGAGGTGGGGGGGACTATGGAAAGAGACAGATAAAATAACGGAGACGGGATGATCTGCTTTGGGGGAGCTCAGGGTACTGCACCAGGCAGTAGAGGGGCGCTCATCTGGAGTCCACGATGCCCTGAAGGTACCAGAGGCAAGCGCTTCTCAGGGAGAGGGCGGCAAGCTCGGGCTGGACTCCCGAGGTGCTGGGGACAGAGAGGCGCAGCTAGAGAAGTGGCTGGAGAGCAGCAGGGCTGGAGGTCACCGGCAGGGGGAGGGGGCGGCGGGCCAGCGCCCGGGTCACGCACCAGCAGGGAGGAGTCACTGCTGCTCATCTTGGGCCCCTGACGACCACGTCCAGGTCCGGGTGCGCAGCGCCGAGCGGGAGTTCTGGGTCTGGATCCGGGGCAAGGCCCTCGCGGCTACAAGTCCAAGGCGCGCGCGTCCTTGGAAACCTGGCAGCCTGCCGGTTGCTACGCGCCGCATTGTCCGCAGGGGCGGGGCACCTGCCCACGTGATAAGGCGTGGGTAGTGGAGCGCCGAGCGCGCGAGCCGGCGCAGAGACCGGCCGGGCGCGGGGGAGCCGCAGGCATGGGCTTGGGCCCCAGCGCCGAGCAGCCCGCGGGCGGCGCCGAGGGCTTCCACCTGCACGGGGTGAGTCGGCCGGGCTGCGGGGGGCCCGGCGGCGAGCGTCCGGCGGCGAGCGTGTGCTGCGACGCCCCGTGCCGGCCGGCCGGCCGGCGCCGCCTGGGCCTGGCCTCCAGTGTGCCGCCGCGGTCGGGCCCCGCGTCTCCGCCCACGCCGAGTGCCAGCTCGCCGGAAGCCCGGCGGTTCCTGGTGGCGCTCCGCGGCGGCTCGCTCCGGGTGGAGAAGCCCCGGGACGCTCTGACCCGCCCGCAGCGCCGAGAAGCGGGTGGGACTGTGGGGTCCAGGGCCCTGGGGAGCAACGGGCACGCGTCCCAGTCCATCTGGGTCGGGGGGCGGCAGGGGCCGAGGACCGCAGCACACCAGCCCGGGAAGCAGGACGCAGGAGGCCACCAGCACTGCAGACGCCCTGGCGAACATTAGGACACTCCGAGCCCTTCCTCCACAATTTTCCTTGAGAAAAGCGGATAGGTGTAGAGGTGGTGTAGATGGGCAGGTACGTTTGTTTGCCAGTGTGACGCCTGGCGGTTGAATGATAGGTTTTGAAGGGAGCCTCTGTTACCAACGGCTACAAACGTAAGGCAAATGGTTTCCTAACAGGAGAGCCCGGCTGGCTTTGTGAATCCAGAGTTGACGACTTTGTGTTTGGGGGTGGGCTTCCTCATGGCCTGGCACCCACAGAAGCAGTGCAACGCCTGCATCCCAGAGTTGGGCAGCAGGTTTAATGGAAGGCAGAGGAATTCAGGATACTGGCTGGTGGGGAGGCGAGATGATGGTAGGAGTGAGGACAGGAGGCCTAGAGGTCAGAGGATCAGAGGTCACCCTTCACACCAGTGGTGTCAAGTACCTGCACTGCAGCAGCCAGAGCTGTAGGCACCAGCGACAAAGGAGTGACCAAAACGACACCATCCTTGTGCACATGGAACACATTTGGATGCCAGTTTGGAGAGAAGGGAAACCATAAAACAGATGACAGGCTCTAAGAATTGTTAACCAGAAAAAAAGCAGTTTAAGGAAGAGTGATGTGTGGGTGCTGTTTTGGACGCAGTGATGATGGTCAGGAAAGGCCTCTGACCAAGTAACTCTGGAGCAGAGGCTTCTGCAGGAAGTGAAGAATGGACGGCGCCGGTACGGGGGTCAGGTATCCCAGGTGCAAGGCCCAGAAGGGCCGAGGCCCTGAGATGGGTGGCACGGGCTTGTTTGATGAAATGAAGGAGGTGAGGCCTGGATGGTGCGTTGGCTTCAGGAGAGAGCAGAGGAGGCCAGACCCCACAGGATCTCACACGTCCGCGTATTTAGGATTTGATTCTGAGATGGGGAGCCATGGAGGTTTGACATAATGTGACTCACATTTTTAAAAACTGAAGAAAAAGTGTGCTGCATTCTGTCCACATTGGTATTCTCACTGTGTACTAGGCACATCCTTAGCAGACATATCATGGAAGATCTCAGGAAAATGACGATGATAAGAGCAGTGGTAAAGGGAGGACTCTGGGGTAGATTTCCTGGCGTCAGATTACTAAATTAGTGAGTGTGTTCTCTGTAAATTGCGGTTAGTACAAGCTGTCAGCCGACCAGCAAGTTTAGTGGTGAACTGACTGTTGATTTACCAAGGATCCCTGGGTGGGGGAAGAATAGGCGGGGGCGTTAGGAAAAGCAGCACTCGTTGGTGGGACTCTGGGGAAAGCTGGAGGGAGGGACAGTGAGCTTTGCAGGAAGGGCTGCAGCAGTGTATTATTTCTGCTGTGAAGCCCTAGTGACCACTGACAAGCCCAGAGCCATGGGAGTGGAGTATAGCCAGGCAGAGGACAGCGCCACAGCTAGAGATGCTCACACCTCTGGGGGCTGGGAGGGGGCCAATCCAAGGGCCTGGGGGCTGAGCCTCAGGACTCGTTAATGACGGGGACAGCTGACACACACAGCTGAGGAGAGGAGCAACAGCCTTGCCTGAGAGAGGTAGAGTGGTTTGGTAGTGGCCCTGCTCAGGGAGGGGCATCTCTCAGACCCCACCAAGTTAGCTTTTCAAAAGCTAGGGCAGGCCTCAAAGCTCCCCTGCAGCGGGGCCTGGGGGCAGCTTGCTCTCCAGGTCGGGTAAGTAGGGCCAGAGTTGCTGGCTGGACCCATCCCGACGGAAGCTGTGGCAGCTTTTGGAGGTAGCAACACTGCCAGGAAGGAGTCCTAATGCCAGGCACAAAATGGCTTTGATTCGGAGGCTCAGCAGTTTGTTCTCTGGGAGCTCTTCTTTAGCTTGGGGAGTCTAGGACTAACAGACTGGGGGGTATGTGCATTAGGTGTCTCTTTTCCAGGGGCCTTGTTGACACCTAACCCAAGATATCGTCTCATGTTTACAGCCAGAGGCCCCAGTGCGGGCCATCTTCAGGGTCCAGGGCCTGGGGACAAAGGCGGTAGTGTCCTGGCGAGGCTTTGTAAATGGGGCCTTTGAGACAGATGCCTGCTACAGCCTGCAAAGCCCTGTTGTCCTTGTAGGTCCAGCATTGAGCTAGAGAGTGGGAAGGAGTAGGGAGCATCTTGGGCTGTGTGTGGCTCTGAGGAGCTGTTCCTCAGGGCATGGGGACAGGACAGGGAAGCTTAATGCGGCAGCCGAGCCCCGGGACCTGCTCTCACCAGCATGCGTCAGTGGCTCCTGTTGCCTGCTAGGATGAGCTGGGTCCGCCAGCCAGGTGGCAGGGTCCTGAGGTCCAGCCCCGCCACTGCCCCAGGTGCAGCTCTGGCTGTGTCCCCTGACCTGGGGCTCTCCCTGTCTGCGTCTAATATGTTCTGGTGACCTGCCAGCTTTGTCACAGGCCCACCTGCCTCCAGGGGCAGCTGCATCTGCACAGGCCTCAGTTGGCTAGGCTCCTTGCTGATTCCTGATAGCTCCTGAAGTAGCTGTGGGCTGTGAGGCCTCTCTGGAGGTATCTGGGGTCATCATGAGGAGAAGGAAAATTGTGTCCCGGAGGGTAGGCACAGGGAACGGGAGGAGGGTGGTAAGGCCCAGTGCAGTTCATGGCAGGCATGCATCCTGGTGGGGACATGGGAGTGGCCGTGGTCCCTGGCACTGAGGATGGGGCTTCCCGAGGGCTGGGAGTCAGTGGCTGAGCGGCCTCGTTGCGGGACAGGTGCAGGAGAACTCCCCAGCGCAGCAGGCGGGCCTGGAGCCTTACTTCGACTTCATCATCACCATCGGGCACTCGCGGCTGGTGAGGCTCCCTTTCCCGCCTCTGCGTGCTGAGTGTGTGTGCCCCTCTGTCTTGTCCCTGCCAGGCAGGCTGGGGACAGAGCACTTTAGGAGGTGGACATGAGGGTGTGAGGGCTCCGGCCCTGGGAGGGCTTTTGCTTGCTGGCCGGGAGGGGTGTGTGTGGTAGTACCCAGGGGTGCCGGGAGGTGGGGTCCCATTCATTGCTCCCCATCTTAGGCCTTGACTTATCTGAGGGCCTGGTGAGGGTGAGGGTCAGGATGCGGCCTAGGAGTCAGCCCTGCTGCCCCCGCAGAACAAGGAGAATGACACGCTGAAGGCCCTGCTGAAGGCCAACGTGGAGAAGCCCGTGAAGCTGGAGGTATTCAGCATGAAGACCATGAAAGTGCGTGAGGTGGAGGTGGTGCCCAGCAACATGTGGGGCGGCCAGGGCCTGCTGGGTGCCAGCGTGCGCTTCTGCAGCTTCCGAAGGGCCAGCGAGCAGGTGTGGCACGTGCTGGTGAGTGTAGGGGGCGCGTGTGGGAGCGGTGGGGCATGCAAGAGCGGGCGGCCGGGGGATGAGGCAGGCGTGGGGCGGAGGCCGGCGTCCCCAGCTGACTGGAGGGCTACCAGTGTCCTGAGACAGCAGTCGTTTGTCCCTAGACAGTGTGCTCTGCTCCTCGGTAACTGTGGGACTCGGGGCGCTTTTTCACCTTCTAGGACCAGGCATAGCGACAGCCCACTGTGTGCCATAGGCTTGCCACCACCTCTAGACCTTGATTTCTTGGGGTGCTGTCTACCAGAATGGCATCTGCACTACCAGAGTGCTGCTGTTAGCATCCTTTTAAACCAGCCTCTCCCTTCCTCCCCCTCCTCTCTCTATATGTAGTTTTGTGGTATATTGCCATATAATTGACACACGAATGAACCTTTGGGTGGCTGAGCTGTCACGGGTGTCTCTGCATAGTGCGCCTGACACCTGTGCTCACACGGTCAGTCTCTGGCTTGGTGGAAGGAGGGCCCTAGGGGTGGGAGCCAGCTGCTTTCGGTCGTCCATCTCTGGCTTCCTGGGGAGCTGGCTGTTTCTCAGCCTTTATAGCTGGCCTACGGAAGCTTGCCCCTGAGTAACGTGGGGCAAAGGCGGAGAGTTCTTACTTCCCAGGAGCCAGGAGTGTGAGCCCAGGAAAGCTTTCTGTGCTGGGATCCTGTGTTGCCCACTGGCCTTGCCTCTCACGCAGCCTTCTTTAGGCCACACGCCTGCAGCAGAAACAGCAATTAGCTGGGCATTTACTATGGCCAGCGTTTGGTTTCTCTTTTCTTTTAGTGTGTTTTTCTTTAATCTTAGCAACTCTGTGAAACCTAGTTTTAATTGTGGGGAAACTGAGGCTGGAAGAGGGTCAGTGCTGTAATTCTTTCACATTCTCTGCCCCGGCAGGTGGGGCAGCCAGGGGCTGAGCCCGGGCCTCTTCCATGGCATGTGCTGCCCTCTTCTGGGCAGCCTGCAGAACGGGGGGTGAGGTGAAGGGGCCCCGGGAGGCCCTGCGTAGGGAGCTGGACAGATGTCGGCTGACTGCGCTGCAGTGAGGCTGACAGTGTACAATTCCTCCTCAGGATGTGGAACCATCTTCGCCAGCTGCCATGGCTGGCCTGTGCCCCTACGTGGACTACGTGGTGGGCTCAGACCAGATCCTCCAGGAGGTGAGGAACACGTGGCTTGTCTTGGCTGGGTCCTTGCATGGAGTGTGGAGAGACGGGGCCTTCCATGGGAAGTGGCTTATTTTGAGGCTTCCATCCGGTGCTGGAAGCGGTGTCAAGTGCTGTATGTTTCTCACAGTCTGAAGATTTCTTTTCGCTCATCGAGTCCCATGAGGGGAAGCCTTTGAAGCTGATGGTGTATAACTCTGAGTCTGATTCCTGCCGGGAGGTGACAGTAACTCCCAACGCAGCCTGGGGTGGCGAGGGCAGGTATTTCTCATGGTTGGTGGGCTGCAGGGCTGGGTGGGTAAGCCTGTCTGGTGGGGGTGAACCTCCAGAGTCCGCTGGTCAGGATAGCGGGTGGGCCATAGGCTCTGTCTCGGGACACCTGTGACTGACTGATCTAGCGGTGTCCTTTTGGCCCCTGCCTGTCCCTCCAGGTGGGGGTGGGAAAGGTGGGGAGGGCTCTTTCTGTGGCTGACCCTCTGCACTGAATGTTTCTGTCCTCCGGCAGTCTGGGCTGTGGTATTGGCTATGGGTATCTACATCGGATCCCAACCCAGACCCCCAGTCACAAGAAGCCACCTGGTGCCTCGTTGCCTGGTGCCTTGGCATCTCTACCCGATGTCCCATCACCGGTGTCCATCCCTCAGGACTCTCCTGGCCAGGAGATGGGTTCCAGGCAGAGTGACTACAAGGAGGTAAGTAGGAAAGCCTCACACGGGCACAGGGGCTTGTAGGGAACCCTCACACGGGCACAGGGACTTGTAGGGAAGCCTCACACGGGCACAGGGGCTTGTAGGGAAGCCTCACACGGGCACAGGGCTTGTAGGGAAGCCTCACACGGGCACAGGGCTTGTAGGGAAGCCTCACACGGGCACAGGGGCTTGTAGGGAAGCCTCACACGGGCACAGGGCTTGTAGGGAAGCCTCACACGGGCACAGGGCTTGTAGGGAAGCCTCACACGGGCACAGGGCTTGTAGGGAAGCCTCACACGGGCACAGGGCTTGTAGGGAAGCCTCACACGGGCACAGGGCTTGTAGGGAAGCCTCACACGGGCACAGGGGCTTGCCAGCTGGGGAGGCTCGAGGCTGCTCCTGCAGTGTCTGCTTCTGCAGTGTCTGCTTCTGGGACACAGCAGGAATAGCACCCTGCCTGGACCAGGAAAGCCTCTGTTGGTTTTCCTGCCCCTTGCTTTGAGGTGAGGGTGACCTGAGGCACTAGTGGTGGTCTCTACTTCCTGAGGGGGCAGCTGAGACTGAGAGCTGGGCAGAGCCTTGTTCTGGGCTGGGTCAGCCTGTGGGAATGCCTGTTCTGTCTGGTGGGGTTGGCCCAGTCTTCAGGGCTGAGGAGCAGGTTCTGAGAGCACTCTGGGCTCCACATTGGTGCCAGGGCACGCTGGGAAGGCTCTCCCTTCTTCTGCGTCACTGACAGGGCCCCAGGAGGCAGCAATGTGTGGAGGCCAGGTGGGCTCCTTAGCGCGTTGGCTAGTGCTCTCTCTACAGAGTGTGGCCATTGCAGGGGAGGCCAGGCTCCCGGATGGAACATACATGCCTTGTGGAGGGAGGAAGGGAGGGAAGGGCACAAGCTGTTTGTAATTTCTGCAGGCAGAGCAGTGCCCAAGGCAGTGGTGGGTGCTGAGTAGGTGGACCATGACTGTACTCAAGGAGCTATCTGAATTGGCTCTTCCCTGGTGCCATCAGGCCATACTACAGGTTCCTGGTTCTTTCATGGAGAGACAGCTCCCTGGGGCTGAGAGTTCCAGCCATAGTACCCCAGACTTTGGGGGACTTCCGTGTTCCATGGAGAGTCCTCTTCAGCCTCCACCTCCAGTGCAGCGAGTCATGGACCCAGGTACTGGGCAGACCTGGAGAGACCGGGGGACCCCAGCTCTTGGAAGTGCGCCTCGGGCTCAGAGCTAAACTTTGGCAGTAGTGGCAAAATTTGTCCTAGGCCTGCTGATTCCTCGGATCTCACATACAGCAAGACAGTTGCAGATCAGGCATGGTGGCACACACCTGTAATCCCCGCACTAGGGGGACTGAGGCAGGAGGATCGCTGTGAATTCCACATCATCCTGGGCTACATAATGAGTTCAAGACCAGCTGCATTACATAGTGAGACCCTGTCTCAAAAAAAAAAAAAAAAAAAACAAAAGAAAAGAAAAAGAAAAAGAAAAAAAAGAGACAGTTGCAAAGCATCAGTCCAGGGTATGATGGAGAATTTGGAGTTCAGAGAAGAGCTGGCCTACTTCCGGATACACAGCAAATGAGACAAAGCAGGCTCTGGACCCACTGCCACCACTGCCCCATGTTCTGAAGGGAACAGCAGAGAGACATTCCTTGGGGTTGGGGAGGGCATCACCAGAGGCTGGGGACACTGCCAGGCCGGTTGGGTCGATGCTCTGGGCACTGGCAGGGTGAGTGCACTGTCCTGGCTTGCCAACAGTTGGGGTTCTGTCTGCCTTAGGCTTCCTAGATGTGTCAGGCCTCTCCCTGCTGGACAGTGGCAATGCCAGCGTGTGGCCCAGCCTGCCCTCTTCCACGGCCGTGTCAGTCTCAGGACCGGAGGACATCGGCTCCAGCAGCAGTTCTCACGAGCGGGGTGGTGAGTGACCCACACCTTCCGGGAGGGCCCTGCACTGCTTGCTCCGTTGGGCTGGAGTTTGGCCATGTCTGCGGGCTGGTGCGCTCGCTCTCCTTTCTCCCACCAGAGGCTGAGTGGCGGTGGGTGCAGGCCAGCCCACTTCTGTTTCAGGTGAAGCCACGTGGTCTGGGTCGGAGTTTGAAGTCTCATTCCCGGACAGCCCTGGAGCCCAGGTCCAGCCAGACCACTTGCCTCAGCTGACTCTTCCCGACAGCCTCAGCTTTGCAGCCTCGCCAGAAGATGGACTGTCTGCAGAGCTGCTGGAAGCGCAGACTGAAGAGGAGCCTGTAGGCACGGATGGCTCAGATATCAGGGGAGAGGCCAGCCGGCCGGCCACCCCGGCCCAGGTCTCTACCCCAGAACCACACTCGGGGCTGTAACAGGCGCTGAGGTTATTTCACTAGCTCTGTGCCAGGCCCAGCCCTGTATTGCAGAGATCTTGCTGGCAGAGGCTCTGGGGTCTGCTCAGAGCCTGCTTCTGGTCTCAAGGAGATGACCTTATGGTGGTCTTCCCGCTTGGTGGTCCTGGGTTGAATGGTTTTAAAGGGGATTTTGGTAGTGTAGGGCTATGAGCAGTGCCCAACTTCGGTGTTTCACAAGAGCTGGGCTAGGGGCGGCACATGCAGCCTGGTGGGTAATAACAGGAGGCTGTGCACCTTAGAATATTCCTGTCATGTCGTGGGGCTCTCCGGGAGGCAGCAGGCCCAGTCACGACCAGTGTGAAGATGGGGTAAGTGAGGAAGGGGCCAAAGTGGCCACATGGCCTTGTAGGGATGGCCCTGACCATTCCTGTACAGTTCACAGTTCCATCTGTACTGGGAGGGACCCCAAGCTTCAGGATCCCCTTATCTTGTCCCAGTCACCGATTCCTTCACCGCTGGCCTTATCTTTAGGCTACAGTGCAACCAACGGCTCAGGCTGGCTGATGCCAGTCTGCACCAAGGAGAGGCTGCCCTTGCCCACCCCTGTCCTTCAGCAGAGGAGCCCTGTGGTCAGGTCTTCTTCCTCTGGCTTAGGAGTGAGCTCACATCTAGTGTTCCCAGTGGTGACTCCTGTTAGCTCCCAAACATAAACAGCAATCGCCCCTGAATGTGCAAGGTGCCCTGCCAACCACACCAGTGCAGAATTACAACTTTTAGCCCACCGTTCTGAGCGAACTCCAGGCCAGCTCACCTTGACCAGGCTTCTGCAGAACCCCAGCCCCAGAAGGAAAGTAGGGCCTGGACAAGAGGGCTACGGGTCTCGCTGTTCTTCTCTGTAGTGTGGGGGAAGCTGCTCCCCACCCCAAGTGCCTTTGGATGGCCCCTCATCAACGGGAGTCCTCTGCTGTTGGCTGCAGCCCCTCACTCCCAGGCACTGCCTGCCTGTTAATTACCAGGATCCCAAGAATGCTGCTTCTGGCCTTGTCTAGTAAGGCCTCAGTGAAGTCTCATAGTTATGGTACTTTTTGTGATGTGTACACACAGCAAACTACAGGCGCCAAGGCCCCAAACTAGCAAACACTACGTTCCAAGCACTGTGACTGCTTTTGAAGCCAGCCCTTGTCAAGCCTACCAGAGCAGCGGGCAGGTGCAGAACAGTGAGGCTGTGTGCTGGGTTGTCCAGGAGTCCAGTGCAGCTCTGCAGGAATGCAGGGCGCGGGATGGAGTGGCCACAGGCCTGTGCAGCGCCTGTGGCCTGCGCTGACCGTCACTGGCAGGCTCTGGCTCTTCCCTGCTTTTACCTTACCCCGTCCACCTGGGGTGAAGTGGCTACCTACGCTGCTTATTCCCAGGGTGAACCTGAGACTGCAGGCTTTTGCTGTCACCCACTATCAAGGAAAACAGCAACTAAAAAAGAAGTGTACTACACTTTGATGTATTTAACTAAATTCTTTATTCTGTACAACTGTGAAATACAGGTTTTTACCCTTTTGGCATTGCAGACTCAAATTTTCTGGGAACTATTAGTTTGACCAGAAGGGGAAAAAATACAACCATGCCGGGCTCAGATCTATGACAGGAAGGGACACAGCCACCCAAAGCTCAGCACACAGGGCAGATGACGCAGCAAAACCTGGACCTTTTTTGTCCTTGAAACAGGGTCTCACTATGCAGTTTAGGCTGGCCTTGAACTCTCGGTAATCCTCCTGCCCCAGCCTCTCGAGAGCTGGATTATAGGTGTGTGCCACCATGTCTGGCCAAAACCTGCTCCTTTAACTCAAAGGCCCTTTGTGCAAACACAGCGCAGGGCTGCTAAATACAATTCATTTATTTTTATGTTTTCTTTTGTCATTAGTTCACAACTATTGCTAAAAATAGTGCACCAAAAGCACACTGTTGTATCTGACAGATAGAAAGGACTTTTAAAAAAAGAGGTTGGCTGCTCTCTGAGGGAGAAAAATCACGTCAGCCCCTTGGAGATGTGGCCATGTCTTTGCTTGCTTCTCCAAGGTGCAGAGGCAATGACCTGTCACTTTCCAAAGCTAGCTGGCCAGCAGTGAGGGAACTCTCTCTGCAGTTGTGCTGACCAGAGGATCTTGAATTGTAAGGTATGGACCTGGGCCCATCAGCTGCCTGTAACCGAACCTGTGAAGACGTAGGAAACAAAACCTCGCCACCCCCTGCTGCTGCTGTGCGACAGGCCGCACGAGCTGGGGGACGCTGGACTGCAGGAACTGCCCTTGGAAGGCACTTGTGCTTCTGGCTTCATGCAAGGAAGCTTGCCTGTGCAGTTCTAGCGGGGTGGACTCCTGTTCTGAATACAAATGACCTTTGGGAAGAACCCAAAGTATTTTCTGCCAAAAGTTGAAGTATTATCCCCAATAAGTTATATTCTGTACAAGACCCAAGATTCTATGAAAGCTTCAGATTGTTAGAAAGAACAGTGAAAAGATCTGGATACAGGTAACCAACGAACACCTGCATATAAAACCTGGAAAAACAAACAGGTACACTTTCTAGAGCAGAACTCACTATGCCACCCCCTTCCTCTGACAGCAGACATCCTAGGTAGTGCTTGAATGAATTAACCTTTCACCAGAGTCTTAAGTTTTGATGGTGTCACACTGCTTATCCAGAGCAGGAAGCCATGGTCTCATGGCTTTGCCCGCGAGTGAGACAGTAGACCAAAGACAACAGTTGCATCTCCCTGGACTTGCGCAGCACCAGGCCTGTGTGGGGCTTGGTGTCACTAGCTCGGCCTGTGCGCACTCCAGTCTGCCCAGGGGCTTGTGGCTGTGACCCAGCACCTGGAATCTCCAGAGCTTCCTAGAGGGCACATCTGAGATGCAATATTAAAAACAAGCCCAACGGTAATCATTTATTATGAAATGGGCTGGCTCTTGAATTGTGCAACAGCAAATTACCATTAAAAATAACTTTTAAATGATGAAAACAAGTTGACTTTTTTATGACAAACTTGGAAAAAGCCTTCACAGATACTGCAGGATGGAGTGTACTTGTAGAAAAGCTACAGAGCTGAAACACAGCGACAGGTGCGGTCACCCGCGTTCTCTAACAAGTGCTAACACACAGATAAGGTCCTTGACAGGAGAGGAGGAAACAGTCTGCACTGGCCTGCGGTCAGTTCTCTGCACAGCTGCAGGACAGAATCTTCTGCCTTCACACTGCTTCCTGGGGTGGCTTAAGCTACACTTGGAGACTGCCGTCTATATTACATCTTGATTAGTCACTTCAAGTGAAAATGTTTTCCACACCAAACTGGTGGTTAGAAGTCTTGCTCCCTCTGGGCTCAGTGGGCTTCCTAGGACTACTCAGGGCCACAGAAGAAGGTAGTTAATGAATACCCAGGAGCGCTGGCTCAGCCTTCACGTGGACTTCTGACGGTAATGCAGGGTGAGGTCCCCACCACTCTTCCATATGAAGTGCTTCACTGTTCGCAGGTCCATATTTGGATCCAAAACCTAAAAAGCAAAAATGACACTAAAATGTTCCAAAGGCTCTGATACCTAAAAGCTTCACCCCCATCTGAGGAGTTCTACTGGGAGCTCCAGCCGGTTCACCTTCCCCTTGCCCGCAGCCTGCTTTTGCTGGCACAGCTTCCACGATGCAGGCAGGACACGGTCCAGTGAGGCGCACACTGTGGCGGTGCCCACGGACGGGGCTGTATGTCAGCCCTCCCTGGAGATGCCTCTGTGATGTAAGACAGTGATTTCATGTCTCCACCCCCCCTCCACTTTGGTCACACGGAATTCTATAGCTTCAGACTGCGGGGTCCCTTGCCTGGAAACTCCCTTCAGGTAAACCGGAGGTTTAATGGTGAAACCTCTTTAAAAGGGTTTCAGAGAGGTAGAAGAGGGCCTCTCTGAAAGCAGCTCTCCAAAAGTAAGAGAGATGGGCTCTACAATCATACCATCCATGTAATGTACCTTTCTGAGCACCAGCACTGGGAAACATGGGGGTACTGTTAAGTTTCCTTACCTGGTCCTGGCACAAAAGCTCAATTTTTTCCTCTGCCAACACAGCAATATCCTCTTCTTTTTCCTGTTCTGGTTTCTCATTATTAGAAGAGCTAGTGGTCTGAGACTCATTATCTAAATTGATAATTTTCTCATAAACATGTTCCATTACTTTCCGGACTTGGAGCATGTCGCTAGCAGACAGTCTGTCTCTGAAAAAGGAAGGAAGCGAACACTGTGGCCACAGCAGCACTAGCTGTCATCTCTTCCATGTTACTTTTCTTTGGTGTTATAAAACACAATACAGAAACACTGTAAATTATTTTAGCATTGCCTTAACTCATTTTTTAAATCGTGAAAGGTTTTTCTTTAGTGTCCTCCAAAGGAGGACATGTGCCACTAAACAGACTTCTTGTCTTTTGTTGTTGCCCCCCCCACGAGATTTTTGAAACACATACAGAATAGCGACCTGGGTTTTATTCCCTTAAATACTTCCCCAAAGGATAAAAGCATCCTGTTGGGTAAAGCAGGCCCCGCACTACAGGGCCTAACCCTCCTGGAGCTCAGTTTCCCCTGAGCGCTCTTCCTCATTTGCTTTGCCTGCTGCTAACACCTAACATGAAGGTAGACAGTTCTGACTTGAGTGTACACAGTGCTGCGCTGGGCATCTGTATGTCTCCAACTTGACTCGTCTATTCCCCAAACCTCCTCCTGAATCCCTGGTATCGGTCTGTAACTGTCAGACTACATTACCAAGGCTTAAGCTCTGAAAGCCATTACTCTCACTTTAGTATGATGTAAAGGACTTGCTTTAAAGTAAGTGTGGATCTAAGTGGCGAGAGATGGGTGGAAAGGTAAGCAGGAACAGACAGGAAAATGTTTACAGTCAGGTGTTCATAGTTACCGAACTCTCATGGGTCAGTGAGTACTTGTTCTGTTTTCTTTGTATAAATCTAGAAATCTCTGGAACAAAACAGTTCTTAACAGTCTTGTTGACTTTACTTGCTAGGATATACATGCGGTTCACAGTTCAATATCTTCTTTCTAGACTACTGAAATTCTTTCCCTGGGTCTCTGCTTTATTTAAGTCTCTCTCTGTACCACATACCACGTCATCTCACCCATTTCTGGTCCTGAATCACTACATGTTCTCTGACTTTCTAAGTGCCCTTCTAGCATCCCATCGCCTGTCGGTCAGTGCTGCAGGCACCTTCAGTACATGGCCCCTTCCAAATCAAGCTGAGTCCTGCACCTGCAGTATCTACCCTCGATCCTCACATCGCTAGCTCAGATTCTGCAACCTTCAAGAAGCCTTTTAGCAGAGTTCTAGTCAAAACTCATTTCTTTTCTCTATTCTTGTTATTTCTTAAGTATCATAAAAGCAGTTAATAGATACAAGTTGTGTCTTAAATGGTGAGTTTTGTTAAGAGACAAAATCCAGTAATGTTATAGTCAACCTCAGATCTAGCGCTTGACTTCTGTGTTATAAAGCAAACCATAAGGGAAGAATTCTAATTAGATCAAGGGATAACATGATACTAAATATACTTACTTTTTTAAGGTTTTTGCTCCTGAAGATGCATGAGGTTGGAGGTAGAAAGGAATTTTGTTGAATTTGGGCATATTTTTCTGAAATATTGAAAATCAAAAAGGTGTAATAGTTTCAATTAGCTGACAAACTAAAATGCTGCCAATAAGAAAACATGATTTATAAGTATTTTATAATTTTGTGTAATTTATAGACTATCAAATTCAGTGAGCTTTAGAGAAAATGACCAGCAAAGTAGTTTAGTTTTGTGATAAAAGATATGTAAAGATAAACCACATGTAATATTACTGGGAATATGAACTTGAAGCATGGCTCTTCTTAGGTAATAGTACAAGGCATTAAAAGGAAATAAACTCCATTTATCAACATTAAAAATATTGACGCCGATACCTAAAGGCCCAAATGGAAACTGCTGTGTCTTGAGACAAATGCACGACATTCACCCATGAGGAAAGCCACCTTCTCTACCCTGGTGGGGCCCGCGGTTCGCCTGAGGACACTGGCCTTCCCGCGGTCTTTCTCTCTAACACCGGAGTGATGTCTGAGGCTTTAAGGAAGAGTGGAAACTTCAGCCACAACCTGGAGGTCTGTGTAATGCATCTGCACACTCAGATGAAGGGCAGAGTATGCTTTTTCATTTGTTTCAGGGAATCAGTCCCTCCAAATCTCCATGTCAATTCTGTCTGGATGTCTTTTCAGAAATGAGTCAAAGACCCCAAGTCAGTAATACACCCGGGTAAACTGCACATGCAAAGCAGTGGTTTATGGGCTGCTTGCACATAGTGAAATATTACTTAGGTGTCCAGCTGGCTAAGTTCTTGGGGTCTGTCTAGGACAAGGAGCAAATGTTTTAAGTGCTAGCAATCACATCCTTTTTCGTACAGTTTTAGAAATATGTGAAATAAGTCAACAGTACAAAAGGGATCCAAACATATATATAAATTCAGGGCATGATGAAGACAGCAATTGTGTGTGTGTGTGTGGTGCTGGGGATCAAACCCAGGGCCTTGTACATGCAAGGTAAGAACTCTGCCACTAAGCCATCTCCCCAGCCCTTAAAGACAGCATTTTAAACTAGCACAAAAAGGACAGGTTACTTAATAAACTGTGTTGGCACCCTGGATAAAGTTTTGATAAAGTTAGAATCTTACCTCATACCAAACAGAAGGATAAACTCTAACAAAGATCTATATATCTATATACACACACAAACAATTATCATAAAGGAACTAAAAGAAAATACTGAAAAGCACGCTTTTGCTATTCGGGAATAGGAAATATCTAAACAAGATATAGAACTCTGAGTCATAATGGCTTGATTTGATAATGTAAAAATTAAAACTTTTCACTTGGCAAAAGACACCATAAACAACTTGGGAGGCTGAAGCACGAGGATTGCTGCAAGTTCACAACCAGCTCTCTAGCTACACAGTGAGTTTAAGGACAGCCTGAACTACACAGTGAGACTGTGTTTCAAAAACCACCAACATCGCCTCCCCTGCAAAAAACAAAAAAACCAACCCCCCTCAAAACCAAACCAAACCAAACCAAACCAAACCAAACCAAAAACAAAACAAAACACTCAACATGACCAAAGTACCGTAAAACTTTGCAAGACCAGAGAACAAAGGGTCATATTCAATATAAAGAACTCCTACAAATCATAAAGAATTCACAGAAGAAATACAAAAGGCCAATATGAAAAGATATTTAAACCTAATTTAAAAAAAAGTTCACACTAAAATAATGAGATAACATTTGCCTGTTTTATAACAAAGATTCAAAGCATCTGGCATTGTTGAGGATGATGTTGTGCAATAGTCTCAGCATTTTGGAGGCTGAGCCAGGAGGATCACCATGAGTTCAAGGCCAGCCTAAACTACATTTGAGTCTCTGTCTCAAAAAAAAAAAAAAAAAAAAAAAAACCAATCCCCTGCAACAAAACAAAACACCAAAACAACAACAATAAAAAGGAACTCCACAAATGTCTGGCATTGGTATGGGTGTGGGAAAAGGGCACTTGAGTTTTATTGGTTAGTGTAAACTAATACAACCTTTGCAGAGGGCATGTAGCAGAATCTATTAAAATTTAAAATGTGTACATCCTCTGATATAGCAATTCCACTTCTAAGAGTTTATGCTAAAAACTCCACAAAGGTGTATGTACAAGGATGTTCACTCCAGCACTGTTCGTGATAGAAAACACTGGAAACAACCCAAATATCTGTTAACAGGAGACTGATGGAATAAATCTGGGTATAGTTATACTACAGGATACGTAGTCAAAATGCTGCAGAACAGTATGTAAAAGAGATTTTGTGCAAAATAAAATGAACTGTGTGAGTGTTCACGCACATGAGTAACATCTAATTGTGTATGCAAAGAAGAAAGTACTAAGTGCTGTGCACTGACCTATAAATAGCTGCTATTCCTGGGAGGAAGGACAGGGAGTTGGTGAGGAGGTGTGGGTGCAGTGGAGATGGAGGTACACTGTACGCATTACTTTATTAAATAAGTACCTATTATTGTTACAATTAAAAACCAGTAAGAATAGAAATACATATACAAATAATTATTAAAGCTTCAACTCTGAACTGGAGGGAAGCAGACAGAGTCTAGTTTTTACTCAGGTTTAATGTTATACTGTCTCAGTGGGTGTGGCGTTGCACACCTGTAATCCTAGGACTTGGGAGGCAGAGGCAGGAGGACTGCCACAATTTCAAGACCACCCTGGGCTCCATAGTGAGTTCAAAGCCAGCCTGATCTACATAGTGAGAGTCTGTCTCAAAAACCAAACAAAAATTTTACTGCCTAAGATTATTCTTAACTTCATGATGTGGAAAAAAATGGGTGGGTGAAGAAAGAGCACAGGACACTTACATCCACGGTGATGTCAATCACCCACTGCGGCACTGTCTCATTAAGAAGCATCGACTCGGTCTCACCCCCAGAATCTCGGCAGAGCAGCCTAAACGAAAGTCATCAGGGAGAGTGAAACACCAGCACAGGTGACAAAAGTCACCCTCCACAGCGCTCAAGGGAGGAACCTCAAAGACCGCCGAGGAAGTTCAGTGAGGCAGAGGGACTAACAGGTGACGGCAAAGCAGGCCCAATACTCAGGGTGTAGATTTTGAGGCCAGACATCTACTACAGTGGCTTCCCTGGGTCCTTGGGTCAAAACGGGAGAGGCAGGCATAAGCACAACACTACAGAAAGGTTTCCTAACAGTGCCACTGTGTGTGGCCCAGGGCTCCACACGCAGGCGGGCCTGCGATGTTTACAGCGACAGCTTTCAGGAAACCACCACGAAGGCAGAGGGTTCTCAAGGGCAAGCCATACATTTGCCTTTTGTCTGGTATCAATGGAGATCAGTGAGCTGTCTCCCTTGGCCCTGCCACAGTACTTCTGGCAACCTTCAAGGGCCCACAAGAATGTCTGCTTTCCCAGGTTGGGCCACGTCAGCCACGGAAGCTCCCAAGAGCAGCCCAACTCATCTTCCCTGGTTTGGCCTGAAGAGTGTCACATGTGCTGATGCTGTCCTGTGGGCAGGGTTTTCTGGTGACACCATCTGTTCCCTGAGTTGGCAGTCACACAGGTCAAGTGAAAGCAAGTAAGATTTCCTGGGGAAACCATCAGAGAAGCTGCCTCACTGTCATTCCGACAGTGGCCGCCTCACTGTAGCCGCAGAGTGGACACTGGGGGCGGACAGCATCAGAGCTGTAAGCTGGCTTGTGGATGCTGAAGGTCTTCCCAATTCCTGACATTTCCACAACACTTTTAGCAAATGGGAGCTCCCGCAGGCAGGGCCTGTGGTCCTTCTTACCCTACCTGAATAGTGTGCGACCTCCCGCTTCACCAAAGATCACAGGTGTGTGGGGGGGCACTTGAAAATATCCATTTCCCTTCTGTACTCGGTTCTCCTGTTCGCCATTTACTAGAAAAAGATGCAGGTGATGTTAGTATCCTGGGCGAGGGCTAAAAGTATAAACTCTAAACATTTAATTTCCACAAGTTTCAAATACTTTAAGATTTTAAGTCAAAAGTCCTAGAATGTTGGATGGGGTGGCTCATGCCTGTAATCCCAACATTTGGGAGGCTGAGACAGGAGACTGCCACAAGTTCAAGGCCAGCATGGGGTACAAAGTGAGTTCAAGGCCAGCAAAAACTACACAGTGAGACCCAGTCTCAAAAAACTGAAACACCAAAAACCAAAACAGTCCCATAAGTCAGAGTTTGAAAAAGGCAAAAAAAAAAAAGTTAAATCCCTGAAAATGAGAAACATGACAACTTGTGTTGTAGAGCATGAGAAATGACTGTACTTCAAAATAAAGGAGGGTAATGTCTGACACTCACAATAAAAAAGTAACTAGCTACTTTAGTCACACAAAAATCTGTGACACACCTTTTATTAGTAATTTGTTTCTGTCTCCCTACTCCTTCCTCTGTCCCTCCAAAATATTTCTTCAGGAACATTATGTTCAATGGCAGCCACAGCTAATAAAACCTAAGTGTAAGTGAAATATAAAAACCCGCAAAGACACAATCTCACTTTTGTTGCTGCCCACAGATTTCATGTCCATTCTCTCTCTGTCGTCTGCTGAGTCAAGAGCACGTGGCCCCAGGTGCCGGCTCACTCACAAACACCACCCTGAACAAGCTGGGCAGTCACCCTCTGAAATGCTGTAGCTCTGCCGGGGCCTCTCTCACAGCACCCTCCGTTTCTTTCTGATCTCGGAATGTTTATGTAAGCAGCCCTCTGCTCCAGCACACTGTGAGCCCTGAAGGACAGGCCCACACCCATGTACCTTTCTCAGGCCCCTTGCACCTCGCAAAGGGGCTCTGCAGACTGGGTAGCTGCACCCAAAGCATGATCTTAACGGTGCTGGGGTAGCCTGTGCAGACAGGCAGGACAGACGTGGCCCAGGCTGCGGATGAGGGGGGCAGACCTCACCTTGCTTTCCCATGCTATTTGACCCCCAACTCACAGCCTAGATCCAAGGGGTGCTGTTTCTGATTACTTAATACTTACTGTTTATTTGGGCCTTTGAGAACATCCAATCTAACTGGAAATAACCTATCCACAGCCACAGAGCTGGTGAAGTGCAGAGTTCACCCGGAACCCAGCTTTCTCAGCCCCTGGTTTCTCGGCTCCCAGTCCTTGGTACAGGTCTGGTGGGGACTGAAGTGAGCCAGCTGAGAAAAGCAAAGCCCCCACAGGCAGAGTCAGAGGGAACCAGCAGACTGGTTCTCAGGGGAGCATGAAGCCTGTCATCCCTGTGAGAGAAATTTAAATCGCACAAATCCTTATGGATGAATCTGGCAGCCAGATCGAAGTCCCTGGCAGGAAGCATCTGCCACTGTTTCTCCTGTGGCTTTCCTGATGGTCTGTAGAGAACCTGAGCAGAGTAAGCCTCAGTAGGTGGGACTCGGTGACTCCTGAACCAGCTGTAGGTTGCACGTGTGATGAGAAACTCAAGTTTTTTTTTCCTTCCTTTGATCAAGCTGAGTCAAATGCAAACGTTCAAAATGTTTTCTCTGCTGCTCAAGGAAAGTTATGGCTGCTGTCTGTGACACACACATCTTTTTAATTTCCTTAGTGACATTAATTAGTTACATACATTCATTTACCCTGGCACTTCTGAGTTGAAAATCGATATTCTAAAACATTCAGAATCACCATCAGGTATATTGTCAGGTCAGGTAATACAGCATTTCAGGCCAATATGAACTATGACAACAACCTGGCTTTCTTGTTAGCTACTTAGCTAGCCTGAGAGGTAAACCCAAATGTCACAGAAACGCTGAGAAGTATTTTTAGAATAAACCTGTGAAGGTGCCTAGTTTTTTTTTTTTTTAACAGGGTTTCACTATGCAGTTCAGGCTGGCCTTGAACTCACCAGCTGCGCCCAGGCTGACCTTCAGCTCAGGTGAGCCTCCTGCCTCACCTGCCTCCCCAGTACTGGGATTACAGGCATGTGCCACCACACTCAGCCTTAAAACCAGATACTCTGACATGCTGAAGGGAAGAAAATTAACTGGGCAGATCACAAACATTTACTATGTCACACTGTATCAAATGGCTTAAGCACCTTTTGGTTCTGAGTAATTCTTGTCATTTATCTAGTGAAATTAAAAACACTAACCATGGTTTACTTCATTTTCCTCTTCATCTACTGGACTCACATGTGTTCTAGGCCAATATTCTAAGAGTGCCTGGAGTAAAAGTCCTCCTAAATTCACTGTAAAAGTTATTTAGAAAGAAAACAATGGAAAACAGAGTTTATTAGTTGTAATTTAAAAATAGAAGTAACAAAAATTTAAAGTTTTCAAATATTCCAATGCTAAAATCTCAACCCAAGGCTAGTATTCAAAATCAAGACTTGAAGGATGTTTTCAAGCTTGGTAGTTTTTATCTTAGAAAGTTTAAAGCAATGATAACAGAGGGCAAACATATTCAACATGGTTCTTCAGAATAGCCACAAAATAGTCTCTACAAACAAACCGAACTAGGAATCACATTCTTTTTTTTTTTTTTTTAACTTTTTTTTTTTAAAGAATCACATTCTTAAAGCACTATTGCCATTACGATTGAGTGTGTACACACCAAACACCTGTATTTTTTTTTCCTTCCCTGGTGCCTAAGTCTCGCATGGTCCTAGAACAGGCCTGGTGTCAGCCCCAGGGGCTGCTGAGAGCTGCTCTAACCCTCTGTTCTGGATGGAGGTGTGTTTTTATGTACAGGACATGGATCAAGGATATAAGTCATTACATTTCAGGGAACTGACCAAGATGATTACACAGCATAAAACACAAGTATCTACCTTCTCTTTTGGAGGAGGAAGTGACGGACAGACAGAACTCACGTTTTGGATCTGAGCCATCAGGGCTGTTAAAGCCAGCGTCTTTTGCAGAAACCCAGGCAGCAAAGCAGTCACTCTCATCCAGAGTGATAGTCAGCATCTGCCGAGACAGAAATCCGCTGTGGCATCCCACCGTGTTTCCAAATAAGCCTCTACACTTTTATCTATTTGTACTATTTGACTTAAATGCTAAGCTACAGATTCAGGGACAAACTGATGCATTTCGTGTGACCCAACCCAAATATAACTTAGCTTACTGAGATACCAAAGACATTTAAACTACAGAGCGTAAATATTAATATGAAATTTTTTTCTCACACTTAAAAACATACCACTTTGTAACTAAGAATAATTATGAATAAGCTCGAAATCTGCAACAGTCTCAAATTATACAAGGATCACCTGCCGACTTACCCCTGTTTTTAAGTCTACTGAGAACCAATTTGGCACATACACCATTTTAAACCTTTTCTTAATTTCATCTTCGAAGTCTACTTTGCCTAGGTCTTCCACCTTGCATGCCTGTACATCAAAGAGAGTTCAAGCACCAGTAAGTGAGTGGGCAACTGACTGCATTCTTATTTTGCTATTCAAAATTTTACACATTTCCGTATTTGCCTGATGAAATACTCTAGCCTCTAAAATACATTTAAAAAAGAATGTGGTTAATCTTATATCTTAAGGCATTTACCTTTATATGCTGCTACTAAAATTTTGATTTCAGAAAACATTCATTTTTGGGGAAGTTATAATTGAATTTTGTGATACATTAATACCAACACATTCCTCTAGAAGCAATGTCAAATGAAACTCCCAAATAAGGGAAAAAGTTCTCCAAGTAACTGGCTAGTGCTACTGAAGACGCCTGTGAAATTCCCTTAGGTGACAGCTAATGCAGTACAGGCAGCACTTCACAGCTGTTTCTTGACCACTGTAACCCATCCTTATTTGTCTCTCATTCCCTAAATAAGTGTGGTACCCAAGGGCATAGCCCGAGTATCCGCTGGTGCCGAGTGGCATTTCCAAGTACAGCTCACTCCAATTCTGAATCCCGTCCCTCCACTATCCTCTCTCAACAGCAAGCTGGCTCCTTCCGAGAGTCCTTCTTCATCCACCATGTCTCAAAGGGAGACTCTACTTACCCCCCCCCCCCCCCGCCTGAAACACCTGCGGAAACTCCTGCTTCTCCAAGGGCCGCGTCTCTTACATATAGCAAATGTGCACTCTTTTTCTCTCTGCCATTCAGCGACCCATGGTCATTCTCCCTCATTCACCAACCGCTTGTGCACCAGCGTACTGGCCAGCAGTCCATCTCAAGTACTTGTTTTCCTCCCAGCAACGCCTGCGACCACGTGGATAACACAGGTAACACAGTGGCCCCTCGATTCCTTGCTAACATTGCTACTGTAAATTTGTAGCAACATTATCCAGTCTCACCTGGATCGTCCTTGCTAACTGGGAGTCTTCTCTGGTTCCAAAGCCTATTCTCCATAAGAAGTCTGCGGGCTCAACTCTCAGCATATCCTGCCTTGCCACTTCCCCTGCTACTGACAGCATGTAATTCTAAGTCCTCCAAAAAGACAAAGAGTCCCTGACGGAATTCCCTTAAGCTGGTGCTCCCATTTTTCTGGTACAAGGAAAAAAGAGTCCCTTCTGGCTGTGCTCTGATCTCAACACCTTTTGCTTCTTGGGATCTTGTACTATCATCAGCCTCTATTCTTGCTTGGCTTTATTCTCTGTAAGCAGTGAGACATGCGCAGATTTTTCTACCTTAAAATCCCAACAAAGAAAAACCAAAACCTTCCCTTGGCGCTCTCACCGTAATCCTCTCGTTTCTGTCTCTTTTACGCTACTGTCCCCTACTCCTCCTGCAATCTGAATTCTTCAAAGATTACTGCTGCTTAGATTTTCTCTCTCTTCACATCCCCACTGCTACTGAACCCACTCCATCTGGCTTTTGTCTTAAAGACTCTCCTGGAAAGGCCCTTTTGTCACTTGCTAAAGGCATGTTAAGTTTCCATATTTTAAATGAACTGGCAGGAGGTAGATGCTACTAACCATATGCTCCTGCCTGAAACACTCAATTAGTTTTTAAGGGGCCAATGGCTCAGGTTTTCTTGTTCCTTCCTGTCAGACATCTTTGTGGCTTCCTTTTTCAATATCCCAACAGCAGTGATGATCTAGTTTATTTTGTCTTAGTCTTGACATGTCCCTTGGAAATCTTGACATTCCCCATGACATCAATTCTAATCTACAAGCGGATGACTGCCGGATGGTTTTATCCGGCCTCCTTCTGTAACCTAGGTATTACACTATAGAGCTGCTTGCCCTCCAGACATTTCTAGATATTCGACACATACTCAAATCCATCGTCTTTTTTTGGGTGTGTGTGTGTGTGTGCGTGTGCGCGTGTGCTGGGAATCGAACTTACAACCTTGCACACTCCAGGCAGGTACTGTGCCCTTGAGCTATATCCCTCGCCCCTCAAATCTTTTTTTTTTTATTTTTATTTATTTATTTATTTTTTTTGACCCTCAAATCTATCACCTTGATCAGCTTTTCCCTACCACCCATCTTTATATTCCCTGAATCACTTTCACCCACCAAACTGCCGTTCAGAAACCCACAACTCATCCTTTCCTTCATAGGGCCTCATTTTATTTTTTTCCATTTTCCTTGTTTCTACCCTAGTCGACAAATGTCATCTTTCAACTGTAATTTATAAGAGCCTTCTAATTAGTATGTGTCAGAACAGTGCTAATGGTTCTTAACCATCTCAACACTATCTAGAAGTAGGTACCCCTCACATGTTAGCAATGAAGACAGAAGTTTTGCGAAGCTCACTAGATCATTTCACTAGAAGCCCAAAGAACCAAGACTAGAATGCAGCTCAAACTTCTGGCTACGAGCCGCAACACTTGTGACTCCCCTACACTGCTTACTGTTATCCCTGGCTCTAGCATGTGGATATGGGAAGCTCTCAGGTTACACGGAAATGCTAACCATGGCACATGTCAGCTCTGGGTCCCACCTGAGGAGAACTGCCCCTTATTCACATGGCAATGCTGTATCAGACCACAAGTTGGCACCAACCCAAAGCGAAAGTCGAACTTGAAGTGGCTGGCTTGATCAGTTTCTCTGAAGACAATTAGGTGCTGGGCAGCATGAAGTGAAGCCCAGTCTTAAGGCAGAGACAAGGCCACATTTATGGTGGAGTTTCAAACAGAAGAATCAAGAAGCTCTGCTGATGAGTTCCTGAGGGATGTACTGGACCCTCCCAACCTCCACGGGACTGACTCCTCTCTGAAATAAATTTGGGGATCCGATCCCTGGCAAGCATTACTGTACGGTAGAGAAAACAACAGACTTTGACCCCTGCTGCAGACTTTCCAAACAAGTAACTACAGTCTCTTGGAGGCTCTGAAACCACACTCACCCAGCAGCTGTTTGGTAATGGACTCTCCACATAACTGCCCCACGGGGAGGGAAAGCAGAGATCAGGCGCAGGTTTCTAGTCAGAGACGGCTCCTTTTTCTCAGTAATGAGCCTGCTTACCTTTCTTCAGATCATAAAGTTAACTTAAGTGACTCTCTCTCCTTTATAATCAGTTTAACCAAAACACCAGATCTTTCCAAGTCTTCTTTTACATTCTCTTTTTCTGTCATTAGATCCCCAAAATATGATGCTTAAGACATCTATCTCTGGGCTTCCAGAATCCCATTACACACATGACTAGGACTCTGGACATGCTATTCCCTTGCTCTAAAAACGATCTAGTAGTCTGCAGCAGTACCACAAAAAGGTGGATTGTGGGCCTATGATTTAAGACTCTTTGGGAAAGGACCTAACTGCCATATTTTATCCCTATACCTCCATCAGTCCCTTATATTTACTCTGCTTTCCAAATAAATAAAACCCATCAAGTTAAAGGAGCATGCACCTTCCCTCTTCAAAGCCTCTGCATTTACTCCTTCTTGAAATGCCTTCTCCCCATTAGCCATCTGGATATCTTTAAGCCCTGTTCAAACGATTGCTCTATCATGAAGCTCTCTCGCTCTCTCCAGCTATCAGGGTGTAACCACCCTGCCCATAAGTCACTGTATGACCTGTTTACTCTTCAACTCTTCTTTTCCCTCCTACCACAAGGGACTGTGGTGCAGGCTTTCCCATCATTTATTTCTTAAACCTGGTTCTATGCTCACAATAATCACTAAGTCCAAGAAATATTTGCTGGGCAAATGAACAAATATGACATTATAGGATACGAAGTGACTGCTGTTTAGAATGTGGCTAAATAGCTGAATGCATCTCAACAGTTCCAGGGAATAGAAGGCAATGTGACCCAAAGTTGTATTCTGCTCCTGTCAGAGATGCTGAGTGAGGGCTATAAATCCTAAGAAATAGCAAAATTTATTTTGTGTACTCCAATGGCTTTCAATCTAGGGTAATTCTATATTCTTCTTTCCTCTAAATATCTCGCAATATTTGGAGACAGGTTTGGCTGTCACAACTGGGTGGGTGGAGGCCTAGTGGCATTTAGTGGGTAGACATACTAGGGATATTGCTAAAGATACTATAGTGCTCAGGTCAGCTGTCCCCACATCAATTACCCTGCACAAATATTAGCTCTAAGGTAAATCAGTATATAGCACAATTTGTAAAAAACTAACCAGAGAAAATGGTTCCATTCAAACAGTTTAGGTGCTTAAAAAGATAAACTATGGACTTATTTAACATACATATAATAAAGTACCTACCCAAAAATAAAGTTTTATTGCAATTCTTTATTTATATATTATCATGTATATAAAAGGAAAAATAAAGGAGTATACAATCCAACAACCTATATATAATACTAAAAAGATACTCACCTTCAATACATCCCAGTATGCCACGTTATTATTGGTATCTTTGGTTAATATATGCCTCTTATCATTAAGAATGTGACATTGAATAATACTAGCACCCCCTAAAAGTGGGGGAAAAACATAATTAGATAATCTTTGTATATTTAAATTCACAGTGTATAATACAAGCTATGTTAGCTACTAGGAAAGAGAAGGACCACACTTGCCTTATTCTGCTTGTGTCAAAAGATATTAAACCCTCCACAGTATGCAGTAAGTCCCTGACTTTCCAAATGGACCTCGTATTATCAACATTCCTAGACGTGAACAAATGGCAGAAATACCTCACATGTCTGCTGGATACTGTGTGCTAAATAAGCACACAGTAAACGTGTGATAGTGTACAATAGAGCACAATTGAGGACTTACTGTATTCTTGTGTGTGTTTGGTTTTTTATGCTTTACACTACATAGTTGTGTCAAAGTTACGACACTCACTTTGCTGGACTTACAAATGAATCTGACTTATGAACGTTTTCCTGGAACAGAACTCAATTGTAACTTGGGGACTTACTGTATTTTACAAAGAGGCTGCTGGCTCTATCCTGGCTATTCTGCTGTTGGGCAAAATAATTAACTCAAGAATGATGCTGCAATAAATAAAGGAGTCCAGCTATTCCTCTGATATGCTGAAAAAAATGTGGCACACATACACAATGGAGTATTATTCAGCCATAAAGGATAAAGTACTACTGTCATTTGCAGCAAAATGGATGCAACTGGAGGACATTACATTAAGTGACATCAGCCAGACACAAAAAGACAAATACTGCACGTTCTCTTGTATAGGACAGTAATGAAAATAAAAAAGCTGATCTGAACACAGAACAATGATTACTACCACCTGGAAAGAAGCAGGGGAGGTGGATTTAATCACTGTACTAATGCATGTATTAAAATACCACACTGAATTCCATTAATGTGTATAATTAATATGTTAATAAAAATGAACTCAAAGTCCATTTTTGAAAGTCACCAAAATTAAAAACAACTTTTTGTACTAAAAATAAACCTTTATATTAATATTCTTTTTTCTTTTGTTTGAGTACTGGGGATTACAGGCATGTGCCACATGTGTAGCCTGAATTGCATTTAAAGAAGTATCATTACCTCTATTTTTTATCAATCTCTTAGTAACTATAATTTGCCTTTAAAAAAGATATGAGACTTTACAATCTTACCTTTTATAATTTGGTCAGGTTGTGTACAAAGGGGAGTTATTGGACTTGAACAGTCATTGTCATAATCTCCAGAGGTTCTAAAATTATGAATTCCTTTCAGTGTCTAGAGGAACAAAATTTATTTAATCATTTTATGCTTTACAAGTTTTCGTCTCTAAGATGGTAAGAAAAAGCAAATAGGAACACTTAATTACTATTATCAACCAAAAATATTTAGTAACAGTATAATTACTATCATATTAAGAAAAAAAGGGAGGAAATAGCATCCTTTGGGAGAAAACAACAGGCATAAAAGCTGGAATACTCTTCCAGATAAAATTATTTTGATCCAAAGTTGGCACAATGAAATTCAGACAAGAGATGTAAGTTTTTACACAGAGAGCATCTGACCTGCATATAAGCAGGAAGAAATGCAGACATTCTCTCTTGCTTTCCAGAGTCTGCCACACAGAAAAACCTGATTCTTTAAGAGTTAAGAGTTAACGATGCTCTGGATGCCTTCTCTATTTTGTTCTACTCCATCCTTGCTCTTCATGATATAAACAAAAAGGAAATAAACTTGAGAGCAGTTTTATGTGCTTTTTTTTTGAGACAGGGTGTTGCCATGTAGTGCAGGCTGGTCTCCTGCCTCCGCCCCTGAATGATGGGATTACAGGTGTGTGCTACCACACCTGGCTATGCTCTTTTATGTTTAGAAAAATTAGAATCCTGACAGATTTCTGACTTGTTGGTCCTTAGACTACCTACTTTCAAATGTAGTTTCATGCAGTCAGAAGTTATGCTAACACAGTATTTACTCGTTTATCAAACAACACATCCTTTCAAACACCTCAAATATATATCTTGGCTCCTGACAAAGAGTCACAGGTTTCATTTTGACTACTAATTTGACTATTAGTATCATCTTCAGGGCTACACCCCCACTGACAAAGGTTTTTAGGTTTTTGTCACTGCCCAAAAGTGCCTGGAAGGTTTACAATGACAAACCACATGTTCATAAATCTTCGCCAGGAATTCAGTGAGTCGCTTACCCATTTATTTACTGTAGACTTGGTTGTTGCAACCCAGATTGCAGGGGGAGGATCAGCTGATCTATCAAGCTCCATCTGAAAACAAAGCACAAAAATATTGCTTTATTCAACAACTGCATGTTGACTACACTAGGGCACGTGTTAAAGAGCCACAGAGGCAACAGACTATGGAGTCTCTCTGCTAAAGGAAACTGCAGTCCTGTAAAAGTGTAACAGGAATAACATCTTACCAAAGACTGGCTGAAGTTTTATGTGTGGCTGAGAGACCTAAATGAATACAGTCAAACGGATAAAGACTTTGCACAATTTTGTTTTTGCTACTCTAGTTTCTATATTTTTTCTTGATAGTACAACAAAGAAACACAGTTCTTTCCTTTTTGAAAATGTCTGCAGTAAAAACAAAAAACAAAACAAAACACAAAAAACAAAGCACCATACTTGAACAATCAACAGAAGAGGACCCTTTATCCACGGACAGGACCCCTGGAAACATACTACTATATATATTCTCTATGTTAAAAACACCGGATCCTAAACACATGTACATGTGATACGAATGGAAGTCCTCTAAACGTGCTCACTGCTCCTCCTCCTTCAGGGAACTCCAGATTTGGAGGCTGGACTCCACGCTCTCAGGAGTCTTCCTCAGGTCAGATATGTTCTTTGTAATTCTTGGTTACATTTGTGTCAAGTTCTTATCTTGCTCTGCAGTCTAGATACCCTGGCATGTGCAGCACTCCAACTGGAGAGTTTCTTTCCCATTAGCCTGCCACCTGCCCACATGCTGTGCTGGCGCAGCCTCGCTGATCTGCTTTCTTAAATGGTCACTGGTTTGCTCCATCAGGGAGTGCCTCTATGCCAGGTCCTCTCTTAATTATCAGGATTGCTGGGCAGGTGGGGACGCCTGGTTTTCGAAGCAGCTAGCTCTTCTTCTGCTTCAGGCGTGCTCTTCTACTCCTGACAACATGGACACATTTTCCACACTGTACTTTGTATCGGTGTCTGCTGACAGACAACCTTAACGGCTCACATTTCTCCTCCTATGGACAGCTCAGAGAAGTGAGGCAAGCGGAGGAGCAAGTGCGAGACACGCTCACAGAGTTCAGCGGGAGAGCCGTGCACCCCTGACGGCCCCGAGCAGCACAAAGAATTCAGCAGGTGACTGGCCAAACGGCCCCGCACTGACCCGGTTATCTACCTGGATACTCTCCTACCCAGACAGCTGCCATTCTCCTTGCCACCTAAGTCCTTCTTCTGACAGAAGAGCTTTTCTGTCAAGTCCCACAGTTAACTCATGTTCTAATACAGATTTTGCTATACTTGGCTAACCATGTAACAGCCTAAGTTACAAAACTAAAACATACGACATACCTTAAGAACCGGTGCTTTTTCTTCACAGATGAGCACTCGCATATCAGGATTTCTTAGGTCTGTACAATAAATCTTCCTGTCCCTTCCTCCAGAATATACATGTGTGAACGTATCATTGACTTGCAAGGCCCAAACTCCTTCATCATGTACTCGGTATGTTGCTATACATCTCTGCTGGCCAAGGGACCAAAGACGAATTGTCCCATCAGAACTGCCAGAGAGGCACTGCAAACAAAGAAGAAGTTAGAAACCTACTAAGGAATTCTTGCTTTCTTGTGCCTTGCATTTAACTTCTGCACTGATTCTACACCATGGCACACATCTGTCTAATAAATAGCCTGCATGTCCCTGGCAAAGGTTTCTGACAACCCTGGACCACAGTCTGAAATGCTCAAGCAGGAGACACCTCTCATAGGCCTCTGCCCTTTCTCCTTGGTTGCTTGTGGATCGTAGGTCTGCAGGCAAGTCCTGTTCTGATCATCTGCTGATGGGGAGAAGGGGCTGAAAGCAGTTAAAGATAATGCTGCAGTGAGCCCAGCAGCATCGGCCTCCCCACCTGGACCACAGAGCAAGAACTGTGGCGAGGCCCGGAACTGGGCACTTTACCAGGCCTTCCAAGTGATTCTGATATATACCAGATTTGACAAACACTGCACGAGGCTAGTCATGGTCCTAACTGTCTCATCTCCTCTCTCACGGTTTTGGAGTCCTAGCAACTTCGTAAGCCACTTGGATTCTACTGATAGCAATCAGCAGCAAGACCTAGTCCCAGGCTGACTACTCGCCCTCTACTACCTTGAACTCTTTGCAACTGAGCCTCAAGTGGGTTGACATTAGCAACTCTGACAATTTCCAAACACACAGGAGAGTCAACTATACAAAAGCTGCTGACACACACGTTAGGCTGAGCATACTGTGAGCCTGAGAGAAACAGGCTGACTTGGCCGTCCCAGACCCACACTTAGCTTGCCTGGTGTTCTCCAGCAGTTACTGTGGTGACATGCAGAGAGGACAAAAGCTTCATTTCCTTGTGAAAAAGAATGACTCTGAAGGAAAAGAACTGCAGGTGTTGGAGTATGAATTAAGTAAGCAAAGAGCTTCTCAAAGAAAAGACAGTGTAGGCTTGGAGATCTGGAAGGTGACTGAACAGATGAGGTTTTTAGAAATGTTAAGGATTTACTGGCCTGCCCCATGATTTAAGGGTCTTCTAGGCAGGTTTCATCAAATGAATATACTCTACGATGCTTCTCCACAAACTGCCAGGAACATCAGGGCTTTAATCATCTATTCCAAATAGTAGGCAAAATGACAAAGAGACTAATAGACCCAGAAACATTAAGGGTAAGGTTATAAGCAGATCATCAGCTTACATGTGGAGAGCCACAGCAGTCTGGGCTAGAGGTCAGGAGGTGGCAATACTATCAGTAAGACTCTGGTCCACACCCACCTACCAAGAATAAGGTCTAACGGAGGTGAAAGGAGGCATAGGTGATGATTTAGGTGATGATTTAGAAGTCCTCACAACCTGGGCGACTTACAACAAGGAAGCAGTATGTTCAAAATCCAGAGTACAGAGAAAAGCAGATGAGAAAATTTAGTTACATCAATCCTGATATAGAACACAGAATCTCTCATGGTAATCAGTTTCCTAAGCATACAAAACAATGAGGTCCCCAACAGACAGCAACTTCTTTTAGGGTATAATGTTGGCCATCACCTTTGCAGCATTAGGAATTCTAGTGCCTGCTACACTGCAGGTGCTGGAGGAGCCACCACAATATTTTTCACTGCTTCCGTATCTTCCCCCAGATAAACATGAAGATGTTCATGATGAAAGGACTTCAGAAATCACAACAGAAGGCCCCAGACTGTTCCACTGTGTCAGACTCAGTGGACTAAATTCTGAAGCTCTGATCATGCTGTTTTCCAGTGAAGATGGAAGCACCCATGGGCTGGGGCCAGCATGCTCATCAACACACGTCTGTGGGATGGTCACTCACACACACCGCCGAGACACAGCAGCCTGACATGGAGACCCGTAGACTTGTAAGTTAGGCTTGGGATTTGTACTGCCAAAAACAACTGAGCGATATACAAAGACCTGCTCAACTCAAGCCAAGGTGACAGGCTGTGCTGGTTCCTCAAGAATACAAGGAATCTAAAGACAAGTGACTCTCGGCACGAATCAAAGCAACTGTAATACTGACTGCCTTCACAGGAATAATTCCCTTGTGCAAAGTCTCACTTAAATTTAGTAAATGAACAGAGTGAACAGGCAGAGTCTCCCCCCCCCCCCCCCCCCGCCAGTGTACGTCAGTTTCTTAGTTGCCCAGGTAATAGCTCCTGCTCCAGTTCCAGCTGTTCCTGTCTCTTAGAAATGGTTAGTCATCGTGATGCACAGCTGGTCACTTCGATGCACACTGTAAAAACCAATCCCCAACTGACAAGCCATTCTGCCTCTGTACTTCCCGCTTGCTTATCTCATATATCCCCTAGGTCACCAAAGACTGGGGACTGACATTCTAGGAATCATCCTGACCACTGCACACTGACGTAAAATAAAACTGCCTCCAAATCCTGGGTGTCATTTTGGTGTTTCTGTTTGCTGTAGCATACGTCCCTAACTAACAATGCCACCAGAGACCTATATTACAAAATTGCATGGCCATCCTGCAGGACACAATATGCATTCTAGGCCAGAAACTAGCTATCTCTTCTATATTACAACAGATCAAAATTCAGAAAGTAGATATTTCTTCTTTCCTCTTTTTTTTCCTGAGCACTTATTATAGTTCTTTTGTTGACTGATTCACTAATATAATTGTGCTGTATTATTTGTAGTAAACTTCAGTCTGTAATTGCTAATAAGGAAAATGGATGAAAACCTATCAATTATGCACTCCGTAAGACTGACAGTTTTTAGAGTAGAGACACACTATTGTTCCTGCTTATAGTAAAATGCAGCTGACTTCAGTGGAAGTGCAAGTATAGCTCTGTACACGTGACAGTTAGATGACTTGGAGGAGCACACCCACTTGGATGAAACAGGAAGCAAGGCACACACTACAGTACAGAAGGCGCCGTGGAAGGCCTGCCGGGCCCACATCCCCATGGGCAACCAGAGATGCCGCTAGCCCTCAATGAAGTTAACTGAACAGGTCTGGGTGACCACCTCAAGTGCAGCCACGAAACTCCACTGCAGAGCGGCGAGAAGCTGCCAGCCCCGGGCTGCTTAGAGTCACTGAAAGTGAGGCGTCACAGAAATGTGACCGTTCTACAAAATGGCCTAGCTGAAAGCAAGACAACAGCTGCATATATATTCTCTTTCACTATACAAGCTACAGATTGGTTTTACTTTGCAGATGAAGAAATTGAAGACCAATGAAAGTGCAGGGCTGCCCTCAAGATACACAGTATATAAATGTCAAGATCCTCCCACTTCCAAAGAGTCTCTCCAAGTCACAGGGAGCTTCTGGTTCTGAAAAGTGCCTGCCTTGCTTTACTTTGCACGACTATCCACAGTAGAATCTAAACCCACTAAGCCTGGCAACCAAAGTTTTTCTGTTTCACCTGTCAGGTGATTTTCACTGTCCTGCCCAGAGGAGTAACAACAGGCTGAGGGTACCTTCCTCCTCACCAGGCCCTCACCAGCACGATCAATTCCAATCATGTTTTAACTTCTCACTGCTTTCGGAAAGAAAAATGGCCGGGCGACAGGTACGTGCTAAAGGGATACACTACCATGCAATGCTGTTCAGTTTTTGTCTATTATTTACATTGATGAAAATTATTTTTCCATTTCTATTTCAGAACAAATGAATTACGATTTCCTCATTCATATATTCTATAATCAACAAGCTAATGTTCAAATATTTCTGAGATGTTTTTTTCTCTGAAGTGCTGATTCTAAGTGGTATTAGAAAGTTAAATTTATAGACCAGTCAACGGACAAAAAATGTGAGATTTTCCACTTAATACGAAAGTGTTCAATATCAAACTCCCTTTCGCTTTACCACAGGCACAGGCACCCACTCCCCTACCCGCAAAACCCCGCCGCCAGTGCCAGGGACTGAAACCAGGCAGTGCTGCTGAGTTCTCCTCCTCCTTTTTTTTTTTTTGAGTCCTCCTTAATTTTATTTTCAGACTGGGTCTTCAATCTTGTGATCCTCCTGCCTCAGTCTCTCTAGGCGCTGGAATTATACACACATGCCACCAACATCCGTTTTTAGTTACTTTAACTTCTATGCATCTACTCATTTGTTTTGGAATTATTCTAAAGAAAATTTCTGTTTTTTCCTTCATTTAAAAGTGATGAAGCCAGAATAGTTTTAAAATATGGACTATATACGCAATTCTGAAGATTAAAATTTAGGTCACAATTTATAAATGAGGCTTCAACTTGGACAATCTCATGTGAAGTGAGGAAACCTCTGTTAAGGCCATCAAGTCGGTGTCACATGAAACCGCATACCTGGGTGCCATCTCTGTTCAACAGCAGCGCTTTCACATTGTCTGTGTGTCCTTTCAGCTTCATTAATTTTGCACATGTTCTTGGATCCCACACCCTTAAAACCTGTGAATTTTAACAGATATTACACAAACTGAATATATAATGAAATTTAAATAACTTTTACAAGTCAAAGACAACTATTAGATACTGCTTCAGTCAATGTCAGTTGTCTACAGCTCTTAACCTTGGAAGGGAGCCTTTTTAATGTCCCCAAATAGGCATACCCCCATTGCTATACATACAGCAGTTACATAGTTATACCCTTACTCACACAAATTAACATCTTTTAGCATCCGCCAGGCAAAACTGCCCATGTATTTAATAATTTTAGAGACCAAATTATTTTGGTTTCTTTGTTTTCTTATGGTTGTAAGGTTTCTCCTTACCTTCTCAGTGGACCCTGAGACAATGATTGTTCCAAGTTGATTCATGGCCAGGCTATAAATAGAATCTTTGTTCCCACTTAAAGAAGAAGCTATTGAGGATAAATGGAGCTAATGTTAACAAAATTGGCAGCTGTTAATTATTTAATTTAAAAAAACCCTTATCTTTATGACTACTGTAAGTGAAAGATATTCACTATAATGAAGATAACTCTAAACATCAGTATCTTTATTTTTTTGGTACTGGGGATCGTACTAAGGATTTCATACTTGCCAGACAGGCGCTTATGCCACTGAGCTATATGCCACTCTAAACATCAGTATCTTTATTTTTTTGGTACTGGGGATCGTACTAAGGATTTCATACTTGCCAGACAGGCGCTTATGCCACTGAGCTATATCCCCAGCCCAACAACAGTGTCATTAAAACGTACATTTTTTCTGGGTTTGAGTAATACAATTGCCTGGTAAGTATTTGCTTAACAACTGCACTGTCATCTAAGAACCATCTACATAAGTAATATATTTTCAAAAACATACTTGTACCAATAAACATGAAAAAATGTCCACATTCAGAATTAGTCAAGGAAATACAAGTCAGCAAAAATGCCATTTTCACATACCAGATCAGAGAAAAACAAGGTGATACACTGAACAGCAAGAATCACGTTTACATCCTGTAACTCAGAACTCATTATCACAGAAATAAAAAATCTTCATGTAAAACTGTTTATACTGTAGGACCGTAATTTTGCAGTAAACATACCAATAAATCCTAAGTAAAGGAATTAACACATATTAAGTGTTCAGGAAAACATCTACTGGTAAGTATTTGAGGAATGTTAATTATTATTATTACTTGTACAAACAAAAACCTTGTGTAGAATCTTCTCTAGTAATTCTAACAAGGCTACCCACAGCAGACTATCTGCTAAGCCTAATCTCTGGCTTTGAGAAGATTGGACTTTCACTGTGCATGCTTCTCCTCTTGAGTGTCTCTCTGAGGCAGGCTTGACATGTGGACAGTGAGACCCTACTAAAGAATCAGGATGGCAGTCCCCTGCAGGTCTAGCCCTCAATCCCTGGGCTACCGCAGAAGCAAGAAGACCGGGAGCAGTGTTTAGACATTCACGTGTATTTCCTGATAAACACAGCCAAAGAAAATTCAAAAAATTATAAACACTAGACTTTTGACTTGCCGTTTTTGGCATAGTATCAGGTTTTATTAGAACTACATTTTGTCTTGAAGCAGGATTTTACTATGTAGTTCAGACTAGTTTAAACTCACTACACAGCCCAGGCTAGCTTTCAACTTAGTTGATTCTTTTGTCTCAGCCTCCCGTGCCAGAATCACAGGCACTCATTTACAACTACTTTAGCTACATCAATGCGTGCACTCTAAAGAGTCACGACAAAACAGACCTATGATGGAGAGATCTAGATAGTCCAAGCCTATGTCTTGAACACAGATTTCTCAGTCTAGGCTAAACCAAAACTGTACTTCTAAAGTCCATTCTGACAACTGGCCTAGAGTGCTCTACTCTAGGCAAGTGTGATGCTGAATTTCAAATTTAAGTTATGTAAGTCTGAGATCTGTTAGTTTATTAAGCAGCTATGCTATTAACTTTGTATTAAAATCTCTGAATTGCTTCTAGAAACACACTTCTCGTCTCTTCTGGAATTCACTTGATTTTTTTTTTTTTTTTTTTTTTTGAGATGCTTTGAAACAATCTTTTGTAATTGGTCTTGGAAATCTTTTCTTTTCCTGGGTACCTTCCATCTTGGCCATTAATTCAAAAGCACTTAATATATAATAACACTTTTAAGTCACCAAACTGCCTACTTTGTCATGTAATCACTATATCCTTTGATAATACCTGCAGAGTGTGTGGATTTGGGCCAGGTAAAGCTGTGTGAAATGTAAAGTAGTGGTCAGATAGGCTCTTCTATCCTGCAGGGACTTACTTTAGCTGGGGAGCTAAGATACACACACGGACAAAAAAATAACCAGGTGACACCTGGAGAAGTGACCACGTTTAGACTGTACTGAAGAACTAGCTTCTTGTTTAGTCATACTCTTAGAGGCTCAAATGCCAGGCAGAAGCATTCTGAAAATATGAACCCCTGGTCTCAATGCAAACCTATTAGAGATGTTTTATAAATCACTCTTTATTTCAATTTAGGTCACTTGCAAAGAAACTTTGTTCAAACATCTTACTTGTGACAGTGTTATTTGAGGCAGTCAATGCTGTCAGAGTATTCACATCCCAAAGGAATATTTGTCTGTCCAACCCAGCTGAGGCTACAAGTTCTTTATCCTTGGCATATGCTAAGGCCTTTACATAATCCTGTAACAGAACAGACATACTATGTTCTAATCTGCAAAAAGAAAACAAGCCATAAGAAGTACTAAAATCCTAACTTAAGATACTGAGAACAAAATCTTAAGATAGGCGTGTTTCCAGTGCTTTACCTTATGTGTCCTTAATGTTGACATGCAAAATCCCTTATGGGCATTCCATACTTTCACTGTTGTATCCGAAGAAGCAGATATTACTAGAAAAGGAAAAGAATTAACGAAACGTCAGTGGTATGACTCGGAACCTTTAAAGCAGAAAAGCTTAAACAAGGTACACTATCTCCAACTAATGCTCACACTCCTACTCCGACAAGCTCCCTCTAGACCTAACGGACACGGCCTTGTATGCTATCCTATCCTACACACACATACTCACACTTTTTTTTAATAGGCAGGGCAAACTTTTCTACTGCTTCAAGTGAAGGTCCAAATAATTTGACTGAGAGAAAATTTCTTTAACTCAGACATCTAAAGTAATAAATACATCTTTTTAAAAAAGGTATTATTAATAAGGTGAAAATACTTGTGTACTGGAAGTCTCTTTATATACAGTTCATCAGCGGGGAAAGCTAAGCCATGGTGCTCAGAAGACCGGACCGCGGCTACCCTGCGGCAAGGTTCACGGGCTGAAAGGAGCAACGAGGGGCTTCGCAGTCCACTGCTCCCATTTTACAGGACTGCAGTCCTAAGGCTGGAGTACTTTTCTGTATATATGTCAAACTTCAATAAAGAAACTTACATAAAAATGAACAACATTATCAAGATGAATTAAAACTTCCAGAACCCCAGTCAGCCAAAGAAATACTTACATGTTTTCCCGTTACAACACAGCACAATGTCATTCACCCAGTCAGTGTGGTGCTCCATAGACGCTATGTATGGGTCTTGCTGGAAGAGAAAGCATATGAGTTTATACTAGAAAATGAAACACATTACAAGTCATAGATATGCTCAGATTCTTTGACTAGTGTGACACACTGCTTCAGGTCTTAACATTGACAACTGACTCCAGAGAACTGCTAATGGATGATGCTTCCAGCCACCAGATGGTAAGCAGCTGTTCAGGACAGCTTATGGCCCTCTAGGTTTCCAGCATCATTGTTTCATCTTTATGCCTCATGATAGTGAAGGCAACAACCTCTGGCTGAGGGGAAGCTGCAGGCTGGGAAGGTTTGACTCCGTGATGGTGTAGGCTCACCACAAACAACAGGGGAGAAGCAAGTCCAGGACTGAGGAAATGCCATCTGGACCTTGGGTTCCATTCAGAGACACTCTGACTCTTCTCATCTGGCCTAATCACCAGGAGAAGCACTTTAAAGAGCAGAGTCTAGTTTCACCCTACATTGGAAACAAGCAAGTCTGAGACACTATGTAGACAAAGAAAATAGCTTGCTATATGGTTATCTGAGGAATATCCCATTCAATCTCCTCAGAAAAGGAAGACCAGAAACAGATGTTTGAGGAGAACATAGGCATATTTCCAGATTTTCCACATTAGTTCTTTTGAGTTTTTAGTTTGTTTGAAATATTGTGAAATGTGAAAAAGATATATCCTAGTTCAAATATAAGTATCAGGAAGGATTTAAAAGCTGAACAGTAGCTGGGTGAGGTGGCTCATGCCTATAATCCCAGCACTGGGAGGCTGAGGCAGGAGGATGGCTTCCAGTTCCAGGGCAACCTCTACAAACTGAGTTCAAGCTCTGCCTAATCCACATAATGAGAACCACTCTCAAAAAACCAGAAACGCATAAACAAACAAAACAACAGAAGAAAGCCAAACATACTTTTTAAAATTTTCTATGTTTTTGACATTGGGATACTACTGTCTTCATTGGCTACTGAATTCAAAGTCTGCTAGACTGAATCCACTTAAAAATACCTTATCTAGCAGCTTTGCTAGGAAGTAGTTCTTTTTCTGCACTGAACATGAGACTTGTATAGCTTGCTGAAAAGACACAGATTTTTAAAACTACTAAAACTAAAAGGTTAGTTAGGTTCAAATTCACCAGCCCTTACAGTTTCCTCACCTATGAAAGGGATCAGAAGAGCAGCCTTGAAGGCTTACTGTCAGAATGAAAATCACAATGAAGATGAAAGTGGAGAGACGGTCCAGCACACAGCTGAGGACTCCTAACTGCTTCTTCCCCTTCTTAGGTGTTTTTCCTATGACACTCAAGATACAGGTCATCAACAGAACACCGGGAGTCCTCCCCATCTGAGGATTCATCTTTCCATACACGGTATCTAACCCTGCTCCTCCTTGTTGAGGGAAGGAAGAGTTAAACTCCTGAAGAAGGGGAGCTTCTGTTCCCATAGTTTTATACCAAACTTATACTATCAAAAAAGGTCCCAGGAGTTTTTTGGGTACTGTGATCACTTTTAAGTTAAGAAAATATTGTTCAAAATCAATCACAGTTGTAAAAGCATACCCAACCTTTTAAAAAATACGTGGTTGCCAAGAAGATTTTGGGGATCACACTCAAAGCAAAAAAATTGTTGAAAATAAGCATTCTCTACCAGCCAAGCATCACTGCTCCTGCTTTGGCTACAACAGTGTACTTCTGAAACTCTCACAGGGATACTTTTGTCAGAGGTTCATGGAATTCTGTTGCAACAGCTTTAGAGAGTGAACCAAACACTCACTGCGCACTGCGCAAAGACCTTAAGTCTGAAACTGAAAAAAGGCAACATATTAGACAGTCGCTCGTCACTAGTCACCGAGCGCACTTCAGACATTAACGTGGCTCACCTTGTGCTGACTGACACTCCATATTCTTATGATGGAGTCCCGGCCAGCCGTGAAAAGTCTATTTAGTGCTGGGTCCAGCTGCAGGGCATTTACTCCATTTCGATTGTACTTCTCCACTTCGTCTCGAATAACATAGGAAACCTGACAAACACATCAACAGACACTTTGCATTAAGTTACAAGGCATGCAATGAATAAAAAACTAGTGGCCCACTCCAATATATAACTCATTCTTCATTTTTTTTCAGTCCAAGAGCGCAGTACATAAGGGTTACACTCTGGGTGTTGTTGAACAGGTGCATAACACATTGGAATGCTTATTTCATGCTCTTTACTATCCTCCTCCCTGTCCTCTTTCTCTTGAACCCCTTTCCATTTGAGAAAGATCTATTTCTACTTCTTATTATCTTTTACTTTGCCCTGGATTTACAATTTTAGTTTCTCATAACTTCATGATATTTGAGTGTATGTGTCTGACTTATTTCACTTGAATTATGGTCTCAAGGTGCATCCATTTTCCTACAAGTGACTCGAATTTATCCTTCCTTATTGCAGCGTAGTACTCCATTGATTATAAATACCATGTTTTCTTTATCCATTTGTCTGCTGATTGACATACAGGTTGCTTCCAAGATTTAACTATTAATGATTGGCTGCTATAAATGTGAGTATTCCCCTTCTAAGTATCTTTTTCAAAGAGTCAGACGATCTGTTACAGCGGTGCATGCATAAAACTTATTTTTCAAATGAATAAAACCTTTATTTTACTCTGTAGAGACTAAAGGTCTGAGGAGAGTGAAATGACATAACTGACAGTCTTGTCCAACATGAGCAGGTTTCCTGTCTCCAAACTGGACTCTTCTACCAGTCCTGTTTGTCTTTAATCTATTTTCATAAAGTAGCTAGGCTAATCTTTTAAAAGTGTAAATTCAAATGTATCTAATCTCTGTCAAACATGGCCTGTTGCTTACAACTGGACGTGGCTTCCGCGTGACCTCAGGAGTCTGGCTCAGCTCTTTTGCCCTGCTCTGTGCCCTCGGCCTGGCCCCCAGCCGCTCCGGACCTTGCCAGCACTCCCCTCTGGTAGCATGCCCTGATCTTGGCCTGCCCCTCCCGCTACACGTGGGTTTCTGCTGAAACCCTGCTTAACCAAGGACAGACACTTGCACTGACTTGACGAGCACAACGCCACGGAAGGGTTAGGTTCTCACACCCAAGTTTTCCTGCAGGGTCCTTTTCTCTACTTTGGCACTACTGATGACTTCTGTCGGTCCCTTGTGAAAACAGGAGAATCAACTAAAAACAGTAACTGGGCAGGCCAAACTTTTCTAATGTAATGAACAAACAGTTCAAAACACAAGGGGGAGCTGGGAAGATGGCTGGAATCTTTGCTACTCTAGAGGACAAGGCAGGACGACAGAGAGCCTGGCAATTTAATTTAGCAAGACTCTATCTCAACATAAAAATTTAAAAAGAGGTTGGAGGCTTAGTTCAGTGGTCAGGTGTACACTTAACTGAGGTCCTGGGTCCAATACCAGTAACTCCCCAACAAAAACAAAACCCAAACCAAACCCTAAACCCAAAATGGGGTCAGGGGAGGCTAACCAATTATAACAGCAACGAGAATGAATACCTAGAAATACCTTTCGCTAACAAGACACATAATCAGTAGGAAAAGGTACAAAAAGGAAAACCCTCTAAAGGAAGACATACCATCTTGCAGCACAGAAAGATTCAAAATGGACAATTCTTTCCTGAAAGTAATAGAAACTTACAGTCATCTATTTTCACAACAGTCTTTAACTCTAAGGGGAAAGCTACTACAAGCCTGTGGTGTGACTGAGGTCTCACATCTGAAAAAAAGGGTCTCTAGACAAAGGGGGGCGGTAGATAGCAAGGGACTCACTATACTAACTCAGACTGGAGCTTTTAAAACCAAGGAAATGTTTACAGAGGGTGCAGGCCAAGGGTGTGGGAGATGGGACTTCCCAAAATACCCAAAATGAAGAAATGGGAGAAGCGAACTGTGTGGGGGTGGGGCAGGGTGGGTGCACAGGGGTACTGTGTGCAGAAGTGAAACTGCCTGCTGCCACCGCTGGGGCCTGGGCTTGTCAGCCCCCGTGAGGTCGGCACTTGTTCCTGCAGGATTGAGAAAAAACGTCTCCCTTTCCCCACACTCCACTTTCTCCACAGGATCTGTGCCTTGTCACGGATCAGCGGGGTGTGGACTTGTTCCTCACATTCCCTAAATCTGTGCTTTTAACCCAACACTGGTTTGAATTCCATTGGGATTCTTTCTAGAAGTTGAAAAAACATACAATAAGTTTTGGAACATTCTAACATTTTAGAAATGAAGATAAGCAGCAAGCTATATTTTAAAATCTTAAAAAGCAGTATTACAAAGCTACTGAAATCAAAGTGCAGTCTAAGAAGAATATGTAACAGAGATCAAAGGAATAAAAATTTGGAAACATTTTCTATTATGATATAAACATAGTGTTTCATATCAATGAACACATATTTAGTAAATTATCTGGAAGTATCTAGTGATTGCACAGTATTGGGAAAAACTGTGTATTTCTTTTTCCTATATTAAACCAAAATGTATTTTCATATGGAATAGGAGTTGAAAAAAAAATTTTTTTTTGTATCAGGAAATGAACTCATGACCTCACACTTGCCAGGCAGGTACCTATGCCAGTGAGCTAAATCCCTAACCCTCAAAGTTGAAATTTAATAAAGTAGTCATAGAAACAATTTTTAAGACCAACAAGTAGTCTCTAAAGAAGACTTTTGTAACACGACAAGATTACCAAGGCAATTGGTGATTTGACCAAGCACAAGTCAAAGCTTTTCTGTTTACAAAAATATTCAAAACTGCACTATTTACAACAGCCAAAAAGTGGCAACAATCCTTGTGATCTAGTCATTAATTGAAAGACAGATAAACAAAATGGGATTTACCCTTCGAAAGGGCCAGGGCTGTATATACAAACAGTTACAAGGTCATTACCTTAATTCAGCTTTTTTGGTACAAGTAACCACAACTGACATTTACTCCAACCAGTTTAAGATTTTTTTTTAGAGGAGAATTTAACACAAGGATATAAAGATATCTAACAGAGTCTAAGAGTAGGAAACACAGCTACCATTCAAAAGACATTTAAAAAATCAAATTATAATACTTTTCTCCCAAAATCCTTTAGCAGTTTTTCACTAAATTACAAATCCAAAGCCCTGAAGTGTCTTGTCCAATTCTGCACTCTTGCACTCACCATGAACTTTCCCTTGGTGGTTTCACGACAGCCAGGAACTCCTCATTCATCGCTCCTTCCCACCCTGGACCCTCTCAGGTACAATCCCTAGGTCAGCAAGGCTCTCCCAGTTCCCACAGGAGCACTCCTCCCCCGGCTTTTCTCTCTCCTGCCCGCCCCCCACCCCCAGTCTTAGAGGTCAGGCCCTCTGGCAGGCAGGTCCCCCACCCGCCCACCTCCCAGTTCTCACCACACTCCAGATCCACTTCTTCCTTACTGCGGACTTTCTCCATCAGCACGGAAGTTCCAAAGGGTAAGTAACTGTTCTGGTTTGTTCCTCTCACTACTTTCTCCCCAGCACAGCGTCTGGCATATGTGGTGACATGCATACAGGTTACAAGTATGTGGGAAAGCCATTAGAAAACAAGTTGGTTTCAGTGTTATGTTTGGTCTCTCTTAATTGGGGGGGGGGGTGCATGTCAAGTTCAGTACCTTTCAATTCCTCTAGGGCTCCAAAGCTGCTTACCTGGAGTATATTTCATTTAACCGAGCCTGTGGAATATATCTGAATCCTAATTTCCAATCTTGGGAAATAATCTGACTAGATTTCAGGTCTCATTCCAGAGAGAAAGTATTCTTAGTGGCTGGGCCCATGAGCCCAGCATGCTGTAGGGTGAGGCAGGAAGACTGCTTTGAGCATGTGGGCAGTGTGGGTGGCCTACACAGGGAGACCCTGTCTCAAAAAAACAAAACTAAAACAAACAGAGATAAAGTAATTTTTAGCAAAACAAGTCTGGCACAACTGAACCAGTCTGTACAACACAGATGTGTGATTAACAAAGGAAAAGAATTAAAGTATTCTAGTTGGATTATTAAAAATGTTGATGCAGATCCAGATCGATGTGGAAAATCTCAATCTCCCCACCCTCTTCTCTCTTCTGGTACTGGACTGCACCCAGGGCCTTCATACTAAGCTACATCCCCAGCACTTTTTAAGTTTTTTTGAGTTTGAGACAGCATCTCACTAAACTGCTAAATTACCCAGGTTACAGCCTGAACAAGTAACCAGCCTGCCAGAATGCTGGGATTATAGGCATGAGCCACCATGATAGAAAGACACTTGTTCAATGAAATATTCATAATCCAACAAAATGGTTTCAAATTATGTTTTGAAATAAACACACACTTTTGGAAAGCTGTATTTATAAAATTATCAGTACTTATTTCTGAGTAATGGGTTGTCTTTTTGTATAGTCTGAGTGTTTTACAATAGGGATATGTTATTATGTTTTTAGAATTCATACCCAAGGAATTTTTGTTTGTATTCATAAAATTCAAACAACACTAAAACACTGCAGTGATGGCTGGGGATATAGCTCAGTGGCACAGCATCTGCCTGACAAAGTCAGTACAGAAAAAAAAATTGTAATGAAAGAAAATCCTACTGTTGGGTAAGACTTCTGTGAACTGAAGTTCTCTGAAGAAACTGCATCTGTATTAAAGATCCTGTGGCTTTACTTTTGCTGACTAGAACACTGTGACTGTGGAGAGACAGAATGTTGTAGGTTGAGAGCCAAAATTATCTTGGGTTACTTTAGGCCTTTTACTAGCCATTTACCTTAACTTTTTTTTTTTTGTTCCAGGGATCGAACTCACAACCTCAAGCTCGCCAGGCAGGTGCTTATGTCCCTGAGCCAAATCCCCGGCCCTACGTTAACTTTTATATCCAGCCTAACATTCTTGGGACTGTTAGGTAAACTTCTAGGAATCTACCAGTACACTAAGGAGACCTCTAGCCTCCACCAACTCTAAAGCTGAGAATACTACCAGGTAACACCTCTAAACTCCAAAAGCCTGACTGATCAGGGCTACTGCTGCTGCTGTGATC